GGTTTATAAATCTAATCATAAATTTGGTATGAATTGGAGACATAAAATAAAATGTTCCTTTAATGGGGGGGGGGGGGGAAGGGAATTAAAATGGAAATTAAAAAGAAGAGAGTTAATCTTGTCGTTTGTTCACCCAAACTACACCTCAAACATGTCAATATCCTTCACGTCAGAGATGAAGAATCTCCACTAGATCGGGGTTGAAGACTGTCTGTGATTCGTTTTTGTTTTATTCCTCTCTTTCCCAATCTTATTGATTTCCATCTCTCAACTCCAAGTCAGCGATGATTGATTACGGTACTTTCATCCAAGTTCATTTTCACTTAGAAACAATATGTGACTAACATTATTATTATAGGAGTTCTCACAATGGGGTAATAAATATTGTCAATATTTCTTTATCCCTTTTGTCTTTTACAAGTAGTCCTACAAATTGTTTATATATTGTCTGTTGGAAGCGAGTAGACGACCCTAAACGTGCTAGCGTGACGGTAAGAGGAATATGAGAAATTAAAAGTGTGGATATATCAAGCATAGATGTAATTCAGGCCCTGTGAGGGGAAGAGGGCTAAAAATGAGAGGAGTAGGCGGGCAGGGGGTCCATTTTTGGGCGACCTAAATCTTGACCTTTACATCATAACCTTTATCTAACAGTTTCAGGCAGCCGACAGAGTTTATTTGTACAGCCCGATCAGCGATGAGGTTATAACGCGCCATATATCACAGACATGATCCGCTAGAAGAATACCGCCAGAATTATGGAAAGGATCTCAAACATCTGACAAAAGAAGAGGAAAATGAAAGCAATTTCTTTGGAAAATGTTTAGGTGAGCTATGTAAAGCTTGAATATTTCGAATTTTAAAAGAACTTATCACACCAGACATCAGACTGCAACTTCACAAAATGAACCTTTCACTTGGGGATGTTAAGGAAAAAATAAAAATAAAATAAAATTGAAGCTAGAATTTAACGATAAAATTAGTTAACTCATATAAAGAAACGAAACAAGCATTTGTGTAACATTGGCCCTGTGCGGGGGGAGGTGAGAGTGCACTGGTATTTCTAGGTGGATGAAAATTAGGTGGATAGGATCTTGGCTGAAGTCACGCCATCATCTATCTATTCATGTTCTAATCCACTTTTTGTTCTCTACTTCTCCCTCTTAAGATTCCATGAAAGGAGTGGGGCGTGCCTCTCATCATCTTTAGAAGGTTTATGTCACTCTTTAACCATGCATTTTAAGGTCATTACGAGACATGTTTAGATGTATCTGGGTCAATTAATGTCTCTTTATTACTGACCCCTTTAATGATACATGTGTACTTACTTAATTTGCTTGTGTTTTAGTTATACACATTTTTTTAATGACAATTTTGAATAAGTTGTATTCCTATTCATAATTAGAAGATATAAAATGGTCTACATTCTGGAATGATGGTAAATAAAATAAGTACCTATTAAAACTCTTCTAAATTGCTGCTATCATCGTGGACCTAATGAAAAAGCATCACACTTGACTAGAGTAGACATACAGTTCATCATGACTTTCTGACATTTACTTACCTCCAATTTTGCACCAAGTTCTTAATGAATTCAGGATGTATATAGTCTACCCCTTGTGAGGAATGGGGCTGACGATGAGTTTTGTGTAGAAGTGGGGCATTTTGCATGTGTGCGTGTGTGTGTGTGTGTGTGGGGGGGGGGGGGTGGGCTGGAGTCCGACCTTAACCATGGTTTTGGCGCCATCAATGGGAGGGAGTCATATGACTGCTTGGTATTACCTTAAGGAGGGTGGAGTATTGGTGCAAATATACTGTACGTGCGCCATCGAATCGCGAAAAAAAATGGCAAAATTAGCTCCCTTCCCCCCCCCCCCCCCAAAAAAAAAGAAAAGAAAAAAGAAAAGGGAGAGGCATCGTGTGAACATTTTTTGTTAGGAACCCTACCTATTATTCACTCAGGCGCTGTTTTTGTTCTTTTACATTTTCATCCAGCCTCTTAGACAGGTGCCCCTCCCACACTTGGAACCCTCAGTGACTGCCCCACCCCCACCCTACACCCCAGGGGGGAGGGGGTACAAGATTCTGATTTAAGGCATTAGGTGTCAGTGTGGACGATCTCACCTCAGACCAGACCACCCAGGGCAGCCAGTCAACTCTAGACACCATAACGTCAACAATCTGTGTACCTGATCTCCCTCCAGTGGGGTTGCTCCCGTGCCAGCCAGCCAGCCAGCCGACCAGCCTGCCTGAGAGGAGGAGGCAGGGTGGATAGCAGGTGACGACACAAGGCGGGCGCCATCTCAATCCCTTCAGTAAACCAGGGGACCTAGTTAGCCCAGCTGCTCCCCCGCTAGCTATACCAGGAATCTTCGACTGAGGGAGGGAGGGAGGGGAGGGAGGGGACAGACAGAGTTCGCAAGTGGGAAGGGCTAGATGACACGGTCACCGTGAAATCAGATGGTGAAGATGGGGGGGGGGGGGGTGGGGGAGGGTGTGAAGTTGTGAACGATTATTATGGTAAACTAGTTGCATTTGACAGCAAACGACAAGACAAGTCGATAAGTAGAAGGTAATTATAGAGATTCACTTATAAATCTTTTTATATCTTTTTTTATTAAAGCACCAGAAACGTTATACATATCATGACAATAAAAACAGATGTGTTTTTCCCTTTTGGAACATTATCTTCATGTTGAACTCAAGAAGACGAGGTTCATACAAAATGGCTTTATAAACACGCCTGTGAAATGAAAAAAGAAAAGAAAATGTGACGTTTACGGGGAGGGGGAGTGTCATTAGATAAGTAAATCTTTGTCTTTACTAGAGTTTAACTTCTGGACTTTATTTCTCCATTTTCGGCAACAAATATGACACGATCATTATTAGGATCTTTCTTTTTATTTTTGAGCGATTGAGCAAACTTTTTTTTTTACAGACTTTCAGTTTTCTTACAGTTGAAAGTGAACGTTCTTTACATGTCAAAGCGTCAACACGGAATTCGACGGGCTAGCTCAAATTGTCCCGCTAGAGGGATCATCAGGCTACAGGTGCATACAGGCTCCACTCTTCGTTTAAAAAACAAACTTGTATGTATATTGTGCAAACTTCATTTCAATGTATACACGCGCCAACCATAAAAGGGCAAGTGCAATTATCGGTTATTGACCGTCTACCATGCATTATAAAATATTGTCCAATGTCAAACAGCAAAGGTTATATCAACAAGACAATAAATTCAATTATGGTTTTAATTGGGAGAGGCGGTCCTCCGGCAATTAGGGGACCTGGGATCGGATGCGTGCCAGGAAAGGGCTATCATGACAAGAAATTAGAAATAGAAAAATAATTAGAAAGTGAGAAACAGAAATATGGCGAGGTTTGAAAAGACAGGGGATGACAATTGAATGGAGTAAACAGAGTTTGGAAATAAATGGAGGGTTGGAGCGCTAGATGAAAATAAGGGGTACATGTATAAGGAGAGAGAGAGAGAGAGAGAGAGAGAGAGAGAGAGAGAGAGAGAAAGAGAGAGAGAGTGAAAGAGAGAGAGAGAGAGAGATCTTAAAATGATGTAAACATATTAGCATAGTTAGGAGTGGAAAAGCATGTTTTTTTTATTATCTATTTTAATGTCGTGTTGTCTATGTAATGACCGAGTTTTGTTTAGATAGAATGACAACAATAATGCGAGGAGGAAACTCTAGCGGGAGTAATATGGCGAGGTTTGAAAACAGAGTTTGGAAATAAAAAGAGGATTGGAGCGTTAGAGGAAAAAAAAGGGGGTACATGAATAAATAAAGAGAGAGAGAGAGAAAGAGAGAGACAGAGACAGAGACAGAGAAAGAGAGAGAAAGAGAGAAAGAGAGAAAGAAAGAAAGAGAGAAAGAGAAAGAAAAGAGAGAGAGAGAGAGAGAGAAAGAGAGAGAGAGAGAGAAAGAGAAAAAGAGAGAAAGTACAAAGAGTAATTATCAGAGGTGAAAATGGGGCACTTCTTACACCCTCAAAAAGAGGCACTCACCAGGGATGAAAAAAGTCAGTCATGAGAATAGGAAACGGGCATTTATCGACATAAAAGGGGCCCCAATCTGATTTTGATAGGGATATTTATAGGAGGTGAAAAGGGGCATTTATGAAAAGGGGATAGGTCCCTTATTAGAAAGGAAAAGGTGCACGTATCATTGTTAAACGGGAAATTATCAGAGGTGAAATATGCATTTATCGTACCTGAAAATGGGCACCGATCAGATTTTAAAGGGGCATTTATCGGAGGTTAAGGGGGCACTTATCTGAAGTGAAAAGAAGTAACTTCTTGTACCTGAAAAGGATCATTTACCAGAGAAGGGACACTTATGAGAAGAGGGAAGGGGTCTTTTTTAATGGGGCACTTATCACAAAGGAAAAGGGGCACGTGAAAATATAAGGTGCGCCTATCCGAGTTAAAATGGGGGTAGTTATTAAAAGGAGAAGGGGAATTTGTTACAAAGGAAAAGGGGGCACTTGTCAAAGTAAAAGAGGCACCTCTCAGATTTGAAAAGGGCAATTATCAGAGGTGAAGGGGGCACTAATCAAAACTGAAAAGAGGCACTTCTCGTACCTGAAAAGGGGCACTTATACTAGCGATTAAAAAGGGCACTTATGAGAATGGAAAATGGACACTTATTGCAAAGGAAAAAGGAAACTTGTCGAAGGAAAAGGGTCACGTGTTCAAATAAAAGGGGCACTTATCAGAGTTGAAAAGGGGAAGAGGCACTTTTACAAACTAATAGGGGCACTTTTCAAAGTAAAAGTGGCACTATTCCTATGTAAAAAGGGGCACTTCTTACAAAGTTAAACGGACACTTTTCGGGTGCTTGAAAAAGTGGGGGGGGGGGGAGGGGCACTGTGCCCCCTCCCCCTCTGGGAAGGTCACCTCTGATTATACCCTTAAAAATGGCAAAATTCATTAATAATACCAAATAGATCTATTTTTTTCCTTACTGTATATTAAATAAAAGGGCGCCATCACATGTGGAAACCATGCCAACATACCTGACGCTATTGAATGAATGAGAGAAAAAGGGAGCCGAAATTTTAAACAAATTCTCTAATAACCAAGGTAAGGAACACATTTCGTGCTATTTATGACGAGGTGAAAGGTGTAATTGATTTAATTGAAATGTGATATATTTATATAGTTTTAACCTCTATCAACAGCTACATCCATCGTAATTTTGAATTTCAGCGGCTTTCAACGGTCTTTTAGTTATTTGACTCCGCCGAAGATTCGGCGTAAAGCATTGTTGAAGTGTGGTGATATGCATGTGAAGCTTGTAGACACCGGCCACCCCAAGGCAAAAGTCAAGGTTGAATAGCAGTACACCGCTGTATTTTTGTTTATAAAAGGATCTAGTCTTTTTTTCCATTTAATACATCTAGTCTTTTTTCCCCATTTAATACGATGTTGGACCTATAGCCATAGGAGAAATGCTTTGCAGTGTAAAGTAAACATATTAGACCTAATCTGTTATTGTTAATTTTTTTTGTCGTCTTCACATGACTGGCATGTCATGAGCTTAGTCGGCGCTAGTGTACTTTCGTATCCATTTTTCAACCGTAACTCCGGCGTGGAGATACTATACTAAAACGTACCAAAAATCAACTAAATCTTCATCAATCATGTCAATTGTTCAAATAATGGTCATGATTCAAAAGTCTGTTTCTTTCCTGTTTCGTGTCAATTTTCTATCTCTTTTGGAGTATTTTTCCTAAAAACAAAGACATCATAATATACACTTTCCAAAGGTTTCACGGCAAACCGCTGCACAATTACAATACAATTGCATACCGTACCAATGATCATCATCAGTTATAATGTGAATTAGATCTAGAGTACCCAGTATTCGGTCACTTAAGGGGAAATCACTAATATTTTGAATTCTTACCTCTTTCATTGGGCAATCTACCCATCAAAAGAAAAGAAATTTATTCCTCTAACAGGATTTTATAGTCACTGAAAATATAGAATAACGATAAGCAAAAGACTTCCGAAAGAAGACGGAGCATTTTTCTGCCAAGAATTCGGTCGCGCCGACTAGAATTCGGTCACGCGATTTGTGCGTGGTATCTCCGTTGCAAAGGAGCGTAGCGTATTTGCGCACTATTTTCACACAATTGCGCGATAAAGCACTGAATGTCAATGCGTTGACCGAATACTGGCTGAGCGATACCGCATGGCAAGGGTATCGTATAAATACCTCTTGCACATCGCCAAGTGCGTCATTTGCAAATTCGCTGCGATGGAGCGAACACGGAAGTGATTCTCGTCACACACATACTAAATTCATTGTGACAGCACACGTAGTTGTTTCGCAACAGACTTCTACATATGGCTATGCATGTTAGCGCATGTGCTAAGAGAACGCGAAAGTGCGGAAAGTTGTGCGACACTGACCAATTTCGAGCTAAGTTGGAGATCTTTCCGGGGCCCTAAATCTGATTTAATTTTGAGAGTTAAGAAAAATTGTTCAGCTGCCTGATTTGTGCAAGTTTCGTGGCTCATAAATTATTTTTTAAATTGTTACAGCTGTTGAAACGGCTGTCTGACCGAATACTGGGAATAGACCGAATACTGGGCGCGCTACCCTACATAAATTTAATTCATGAAGGAAGATGACGTCATCTATCATCGATTTTAGTCCAAAGTTTGGTGGCACAATTGTGCCACCAAATTTCTTACAGAAGACTCTATGGCCGGCTCCTCTCTCTAAAGAGAGGAGCCGACCCTACCCAAATAAGAGGCTAACGAACAAAATAGACCAAAATTTTCGGTCTACTCTCAACCATGCTATAACTTGATAGCTTTAACTTTTGCTCCGCAATTACGCATTGTCTTGCCTTAATACTAACATGTTCAATTTTTTGTTTTATTAGACTATACGAGGTAGCATTCTGATTTCAGTAAGTAAAAATCAATGAGGACTGAATAATCCAGCTTTTGTTCTTCTCCATTTCTTTGAATTCAGAATTGTGACATGGACCTGTCAATCCGAGGGGGGCCGACCCCTCGCCAAGCTCGTGTCTCAAGTGCAAAGGGGAAGAAGCCAAGCAAGACAAGCGGATCGTTATACGACACACCTGAAGCACCGAGGCAAGGAGCTAGACCTCCTGCTGGCAAACCACCAAGATATGAGGTAATAATTAAAAATGGTCCTCTGCTCAAGGGCCTTGTGTTAAAATTGTAATTTTTTTGAAATCTGCAGTGATGTGATGTGCCGCATGGTGTGGAGCATCACTGTTACCTTGGTATTCAATTCAATTTATTTCCACTTTAAAAACAAATGAAAACAAATACATCTGAATACGGGATCATGAAAAGCACTAATTGGCTGATTAAGATATATATTGAATATAGTATGGCACTTATTTTTGAATTTTGATATGTTACTAAGAGAATGCAGCTCTCTTCTGTGTCAGTGAGACACTATATGTAAAGTCTAATAATTGTCCTTTTTTTTTTTCTTCACCCTTGTTAATTACTTCCAGGGTGGTGTGGTGACGCAATCTCAGGTAGATCAGTACAAAAGACCAAAGAGCCGTGGTCCCAAACCAGACAAGTAAGTTCTTACTATTTCTTTCTTTTACAGTTTGCTATGTGTACTTTCTTCATTTATGTTTGATTTTTCTTTTTTAGAAAGGAAAAGTAATTGTGACACTCAGTTTAATTTTTCATCTTCAGGAGTGAAGGAGGCAGATTATGACGATGAAGAAGAAGAAGAATTACTCATTTAGGAGTACAACATCAGTCTGATCATAATTAGTACCAACTTAGTAATGAACCTATTCAAGAAAGAGTAGGCCACTGCTACATGTACCTGTGCATATGTTATGTATCATGTTACAAGTCTTAGTTTCTTGTTCATTTTACGTTTGCATCAAGTTCAATGAGCTTCTTGGCATGGGTCCATTGGTCCATACATATTGGATAGACTTTCACTCTTGCAGACCCCCTCCCCCTCCCCCTCCCCTCCCCCTCCCCCCCCCCCCCCCCCCCTCCCCTCCCCCTCCCCCTCCCCCTCCCCCTCCCCCTCCCCCTTCCTTTTTGATGAACTTTTTGATATCAATGCACTGTCTTACTCCACTTTTTGTTTACCAGTGTACCATCTCTAGACCTTGCTCGGCTTGCTGACTATGATATCACAGCATCAAAACCGATCTTGGACTACAAAGAGAAGATTTCAACTCCAGATACAGCCAGTACTGTCAGGTGAGAAGAAAGAATGAATTCTGAAAATATCTTTAACCCGCTAAAACAAGTTGTAAATAAATGCACTTCAGCACACATTGAAGAATACCGTTTTAAATAATTAAAAATGTCTGAATACTGTGGATTAGCCCAGGGCCCCATTTAACAAAACTTTTCATCAGTGACAAATGACAGTTTATGTTATAAGTTACTGAAATCTTTGCTTCTGATTGGTTATAAGCCGATTTGTCATTGATTTTTATGCCTCCGTTACGAAGTAGCCGGAGGCATTATGTTTTCGGGTTGTCCGTCCGTACGTACGTCCGTACATACGTACAGACGTACGTACGTCCCGTTCTTGTGATCGCGTTATCTGAAGAACCAATCGATGGATTCCTGCCAAACTTTCGTCATGTATGTATCTTGCAGAGCCGATGAACTGATTAGATTTTGGGGTCACGAGGTCAAAGGTCAAAGGTCACAGGGCTCATTAGGTATGCAAAAACAGCTCGTGATCGCGTTATCTGAAGAACCGATTGATGGATTCCTGCCAAACTTTGGTCATGTATGTATCTTGCAGAGCCAATGAACTGATTAGATTTTAGGGTCATGAGGTTAAAGGTCAAAGGTCACAGGGCTCATTATGTATGCATAAACAGCTTGTGATCGCGTTATCTCAAGAACCGATTGATGGATTGCTGCCAAACTTTGGTCATGTATGTATCTTGCAGAGCCGATGAACTGATTAGATTTTGGGGTCACGAGGTCAAAGGTCAAAGGTCACAGGGCTCATTAGGTATGCAAAAACAGCTCGTGATCGCGTTATCTCAAGAACCGATTGATGGATTGCTGCCAAACTTAGGTCATGTATGTTACTTGCAGAGCCGATGAACTGATTAGATTTACTGGTCATGAGGTCAAAGGTCAAAGGCCACAGCACACATTATGTATGCAATAACAGCTTGTGATCGCGTTATCTCAAGAACCGATGGATGGATTCCTGCCAAAATTAGGTCATGTATGTTACTTGCAGAGCCAATGAACTGAGTAGATTCTTGGTTCATAAGGTCAAAGGTCAAAGATCATGGGCTCATTATGTATGCAAAAATAACTTGTGAACGCATTCTCATTAGAACTGACAGATGGATTACTATTTTACTCAGGACATCTTGCAGAGCCAATGAACTGAGTAGATTTTAGGGTCATGAGGTCAAAGATCAAAGGGTCATATATATGTATATGAGAAATTGCTTGTAATCGCGATATTCTGAGAACCTGTCAATGGATTACAATTGAACTTGAATCCGAAAAATTTCTTCTGTTTTGGTTTGTAAAATTGCTCTATGACGGAGGCATCATTTTCGACTGCGCGCAGTCGAATTCCATCTAGTTTTCATTTGTCGTTGAAAAAAGGCTTTGTGAAACACCCCCAGGTTTTAGATATGATATACATAATGCTATGAGATACTGCCTCTCATAAATACTCCACTTCTATATCCTTTAGCTTTAATTTACTTGAAATAACTTCTTCCCTATTTTCCTGATTTTTCTCATTTTTCTCATTACTTGTCTTGTACAGCTGGGGATACCATGACTACAACTCTAAACCCTCTGGACGAAACAGCTCCCTCAAAGCTCCCTTTGCACTCCACCACACCCCTCAGACGCCCCTCTCTGGTCAGAGTGTGTCCTGCCGGCCAGCCAATGTTCCTAAGCTCAATATAGCAGACAAACAGAAACAAAAAGCAAAGGTAAGTTATGATGTTTCAGATTAGCTCCCCATTCTTACTATCCAGGTGAATTGTTTGATAATACATCTTTATACCAAGGGCAAAAGGAATACAGTCAAACCTGCTTTAGTGACCACTTGTCTACAAAGACCACATTTTTGTTTCCCTTGAAAATGGTTTCTCATTGAAACATGTATTTAAGGAACCTGTCTTCAAAGACCACTTTTTGTGTTTCCCTCAGGCGGTCGCTATAGACAGGTTGGACTATATGATGATGAAGGTTACAGGATAAGAATAGGAAATATTAACAAAACTAAAATACACAAGTGGGAGAGGGGGGCAGTGAAGGGGAAATGGGACAAGAAATGTAAAAGAATCTTTGAAGGGCATAAGGAATAAAAAGAGATGAAAAGGGAGACTTAAGGTGAGGAGAAGGAGCTTGTTCAAGATAGATGTACCCCCCCCCTTCATGAAGTAACACAGAGTTGGTCAAAGTCAGTAATTTTCTGAACATGTATTTTCTTGCTCATTTGATTGGTCTAATACCAAATCACTAATCACATTTCTGTTTATTTATTTGACAGCAATTAGAAAACAACAACGTTTAGGGTTCACTTTACGGGAAGACTTACCTGTTTTTTTTTCTCTCTCTCTTTCTCAATATACTTATTGTTTTTTCGATTTACATAGTTTATTTTACTTGTAATTTGTCATTTTTGTTGTTGTTGCAAACAGACAGCATGGGATGACCCTGCTGTTCCAGATAATATCCCCCCTCCCTCTGAAAGGCAGAAGAAGCAGTTCAAACAGAACCAGACTGAAGTGAAGCAGCAGTACAAACAGCAGCAATCACAAGGGGGTGCTGGAAACCAAGTGAAACAGCAAGAGCCAAAACCAGAGTAGGTTTCATCATGAATGCATCAGCTTACGTAGGGTTAGCTGTTTACAGTCATCATTTCAACATGAAGTCCCCTGCATGTTTTAAGTTAGATTTTCCCCTATATACTTGTTGAATAATCTTTCCCCACAAACTACCAGGGGAAAACACACCATTTGCAGATCCAGTGAAAACAACATCCTATTTTAGCCTTCCAAACATTTCAATCCACTTCAGTGCCTTTATTTTCCAATACATATCAATTGGAATTTTGTGGTTGGAGTAATTATGTTGGTCTGTATTAAAGACAACTTTTGATGTAACTAGTGTTATCTGTAAGTTGATGAGAGTAAATGTATCTGTAACATAGCACAACACTAATCAGTCATATCATTTGCCAACAACTTTGCATGATAACACTTTGAATAGATAGTAAAACAAAAGAAATTGTGAACCATTTAAAACATAACAATTCATATATAATAATAATAATAATAATAATATTGGATATTTATATAGCACACATATCCACCATGCATGGTGCTCAAGGCGCTCCAACTATTACCCCGGCTCTGCTAGACAGCCGATTTCAGCGCTCACAGCATTCAAGGAATTCCTTCCTACCGGTACCCATTTAACACCTGGGTGGAGAGTAGCAAATGTAGATTAATATCTTGCCAAAGGACATTAGTGCCGCAGCGGGACTCGAACCGCGGACCCTGTGATCAACAGTTTAACGACTTATCCACTAGACCACAACACCTCTATATGAACTGGCATAATTCAAATTTGATACAAAAATATTTTCTCAATGTTTTTCAGACCAGAGGTGGAGCTAGCTGAAGATGAACCTTTAAACACAAACTGGAATAATGCATCTCTAAGCACTAGACAGGAGGTCAACAAGAGGATAGCAGCAGTAAGTAATTGTATTCTTTGATCAGTTTTTTGTGATTTTTATTAAAGGCATCATTTAACAATTTTAAATATGAGATGCCTGGCCCTATGTGTTATCAGTGTCTGTGATATGGTGTTATATTGAAGCCCTAAACAAATTGCGCTTCAAAATAATCATTCCTCAAAAAAGTAAACATCTTTGAATGAACAGTTTTACCATACTCGATTTTTTCCAATAGACTGTAGTGTTATGAAAACCGTTATGAAAATGCAAAATTGGATTTTGATTTCCAATCATGAATATCTTGATAAGCAGACAAGCGATCGGCTTGTAGAAGTCAGGGGGTTACTGACTGACCTAAAGGTTTATAATTATGATTGCAGCATGAGCTAAATCCAGAATTTTGTTTCAGAATCAGAATACCGAGTCACCTTAATATACATACATTTTTCCTCTCTTTGTTTTGTTAAGAGAAGAGTTTCCATATCTTATGATCATTAAAGTGAATTTGATGTGATGTGATGTGATGAACATGGATGACTACTGCCCACTTGTTTCTTATGCAAAATGTTTGTCAACATCAATTTTTCTCCAAACAATTCTCTCACAATCCTGTGCACATATAATAAAGTGGATATACATGTACATGTATGCACATATTGGTAACTCGTTTGGGTAAGTATTGCTGTGAAAATGAGAGGGTGCAGTTTTTGAGAAGAATACACTGCATGTGTTGTTCCCTTTGGGGAATGTCATCAAAGACCTGGGCCCTGTTTCATAAAAATTGTTATCAATGACAAGTTACAATAACTGTTATAAGCTACTGAAATCGTGGCATTTGATTGGCTGAGCGCACATTTGTCATAGATATTTAGCATTTGTTACTGATGACAAGTTTTGTGAAACAGGGCCTGATTGTGATTTGTGTCTCACTTCTAGGAGTCTGTGGCAGCAGAGAGAATGAAGCAGCATATCATGGAAACAGTACTTGTAGATCAGCTATCAAGGTATTTAAAGTTCATTGTAGACTTTAACTTCATCTTAAAGGCCCACTGTACTACTTGTAGCTACTTGCTCCCTCTATATAGAAAACTTCCCCAATCGGTGCCCGTTGGTCCCCCATGATCCTTATTTTCTTATGTTAATTGAGAGCTGAGTTAATGAGATAGCCACCTGTCAGTGACCTAGCTGTGTGGTCTAATTCCTTCTGGCTGAACTAGTACAGCCGGCCTTTAAAGGTCATTGTAGACTTTAACCTCATCTTAAGTTATGAAATTCCATATCTAGAGCAACTAGCTTTTAGTAGATGAGCTTGTAGTGTATGAACTGTAGGATAATGACCTCATGGGCAAATAACCCCTCTGGCTATCTAGTTAGTCTATATTCTGAGTTAGTTGAGGGGCTTGTTGGGAGGTGGTAGCCTTTGAATAGTTTGTTACAAACTTTATCAACTTGTAGCTTTCACAATTCATTATGATTGAACCTCTGAGTTTGATTTATATTTTGTTTACGGTAAGCTATAAATAAAAAAAGTTTACATAAAGTTTCTCATTACCGGAACTAATAATCTTCCTTTAGTATTTGTCGTTTATAAATTAACCCATTCCAGAAATAATTTTCCAAGAGATTTAAAACCTGCTCCTTTCAACCCATTACCTATGGGAGCCTGGGCCCCATTTCACAAAACTTGTCATCAGTGACTAATGACAGTTTTTGTTATAAGCTACTGAAATCCTTGCTTCTGATTGGTTATCAAGCAGCTTTGTCACTGATTTTTGTCATTTGTCATTGAAAAAAAGCTTTGTGAAACAGATCCCTGTTCTGCTCTGTATCAAGGCTATGGGAATGAGGCAATTCAGTCCTCAATGTGTTAATGGGAAAATTTTGTAATTTTTTAGCAGATGTCCTTAATCATTTATTGACTTTGTTCAATTGTTAATTACAGATAATCTTTTTAATTCCTTTCAGAGCTCCAATCAGTGACCCAGAACAAGACCAGGTATCAACACCAGCCTCCAGTCATCGATACTACTCACAGTCTCCTAAACCTCGTAATCTACATGCTACAAAGTAAGTCAAATCCTTGCTACAGCAGCCTTTAAGCAAGGCATAAATCCTAATTGATGAGGTTTCTAGGAGTGGGCTAACTGATATGTCCATATTCGTCGTTTTGTTTGCTCAAAACAAAAGTATACTTATCCTAATATTCACTAGTTTTATACCAAACTAAAGTTAGAAATGTATAATATGTGATATAGTAAACATGTACTATATAGAAATGTTTGACAAGATTAGATTTTGTTTATATAATGCATTTGCTTTGACTACAGCCCCAGTGACTGAGAAAAAAATGCTTACCAAATATCTTGGCTGAAAGTTTGCTGCATTGCTTGTATGTATGAGCAAATTTTTGCTTTGTATCATATGAGGAAAAGTAGATTTTAGAACATGAAGTGAAGCTTAAAGGTATAGACCAGTTCTGGTCGTGCGATTGCATTGTGAAAAAAACGTTGTGGAATCGATCAGAAAAGGTCGACCATTCATCAAATAAGTATTGGTGTGTACTGTAAAGTAAAGTACTGTAAAGTTCTGGAATCATCAAAATGATAAGAAATTTGGCCCAGTCTTGGTAAAGTTACAAGCAGTGTACACAGAAAGATGTATATGGGACATCACAAACATGTGAGTAATATATTTAGCATAAAATGATAACGCTCACAAGTTATTTTTCACCTCTTTTCAGAACTTAACCTTCTCTTTAAGCTTTTTAAAAAATAAACTTTTTGCTTGCTCTGTTCTGTTCTCCAGGGCTAATCCTACCAACTCAGTGACGGAGAAGATGCTCGCCAAACGTCTGAGTTTCAGCTGTAGAGTGGTGTCAAGGAGCGGGAACATGGCTCTCAGAGAACTCTGTGGTTTCTACTTTGCTCTAGATAAGACTATGACCATCTATGAATTCAGACAGTTTGGTAAAAAGTAAGTATGGCCAGAGCTGAGTCTGGCTATAGGTCTGCAAAGTTCCTGTGTTTGCAAATTTGCAAAACTGTGTGATTCAGATATAACAAAACTTGTAACAAGCAATCTTTGCTAATACAATAATTGTGGATGAAAAATTGAGTGTAAAGATTGAGAAAATTTGTAATTTCTGCAGTTTCATTTGTAAGGCTTGAAATGTCAGAAATTGTATAAGAACTCGTGATATTTGTATTATGGTAGTCTACTCTTCTACTCTGTATCCTCACTCTTATTTTGTCATATATAACTTGTAAAAATGTATTGTTATAAAAGGATGTATTTTGTCATGAAAAACAGCATCTTGATGGATGATTAACAATCGGGAGTGATTTCTTGTTGATTGTGTTTACTTAGAGCTTCAGCTTTACCGTTCATCAAGAGAGACACCTACAGGAGAATGATTGGAAGAAGAAAAGGGCTTCTATACACAGCACAGGACTTAACAAGGGTAAGAAAGAACTACACTGTTGAGTTTCACTGAGTAAATTACATGTTGGTGGCCAGGAAACCTTTGCAAAATGGAAAAAAAAACATTAATGAAAGTGTCTTTAATGAGGGATATGTAAATGTTTTTACAGGGAAAAGAAAACTTCTGCAGTTATGCTTGGACATAGTCAAATGTACTCTAAAAGAACAGAAATATTTAGATTCCGGAACCTTTTGGGAATTTGGGATGACAATGCTTAGGAAAGATCACATGATAATTTGATGACCTTGACCATTTTTTGAAGTTTTGATTTAATTTTTAATCCACATTAATCATAAGATACCTGTATTTCTATCAACTATATCATTATGATGTAGATAACTCTTTATCCTTGCTTGCTGTACTATTCATTTGTCTTTCATGTATATCCTCTTATTGTGTTGTTCTTTGATGATCCACTTCTCTCTCTTGTCTGTTCTTCTCATATTAATTTTTTTCTCTTATCCTCAAGCGAGGTTTTTATTTCCATAATTTCAATACATATTTACATTAATTACTCAATGATTGAGTGAAACATAACATAGGCTAAAAATTAAAGTATATTCAACAATTCCTCCAGCTTAGTATTATTTTCTTTGCTAACACATCCATATCTTAAAAATAGTCTTAGCAACGACTTCTCATCTTGATATTCCAGGGTGAAGATCTTAGTTTTGAGACGGAGGACCAGCCCTCTCTTCCAGAGTGTCTTCAGAAGAAACCAGTCGCTGTTCTCAGAGTCACTGATGTAGATGAAGATATGAAGAAAGACTTTATGTAAGTCATGCATAACACTTCCAGAGTTCAAAGCAGAAAACAGGTGTAATGAGAACTTGAAATCAAAGATCTCATTGTATGGCACTTAAGAAAATAAACTGTTTGTCTAATACAAATCCGCTTCAGTGGAAGTTCCTCAAATAGCATATTTATCTTGTTTTACATAAGAATATGAATATTTGCCTCAACCCTTTAGTAACTGAACTGCCCAAAACCGCCCCTCCTTTTACTCACTGAATGGCCCATCCGTTTTCAACATGCTATATTTCTAGGGTCTACTGTGATAATGTTATATGTGCATAAACCTTACGATGTCTACAGTAGGATTCTGCATAGGAAAATAGTGCATGTTTCATATTGTTCAGAAAAATGTCAAAATGAGATCAATGTTGAAACATCTTCCAGTAAGTAATAGGCCACTTTTACAAAATAATTTCCCCCAGTAGTTAGTTTTTAGCGTAGAATGTAAATCTGTAAACCTTTCTTGTTGTCCTGGACCCTTCGTTCTTCCAGCTTTGGAGACAATGTTCCTTACAATGATGTAGCAGTGAGGAAGGGTATGCACCCACAGAGGGCTAGGCAAGAAGCAGAGGACTGGAAACTCATTTCTAATGTACAAAGTGAGTATCACGACAACTTCTCACTCTTGTGTAGTTCAGACTAAAAGCAAGAGGTCGTGTTGGTCAAAGGCTAATTTTGTTCTCACTTAAATTTTCATGTCAATTGAAAAAACAAATACATACATCAATTGTAACTTTATTTGGTTGTAATATTTAAGAAACGGCTCCTGTAGCAGACTTAACATTAATTATTTTATTGTATTTAATTGGATTGGATTCAATTAGATTGGATTTTATTGTATGAACTGAACATTTTATACACATCAACCACCAAAATGTCAAACGTAAACAGTTGTGATGCACACAGATCTCCAATATTTGCTTTAAAAACCTGAAAAAAGGGTTAGTGTGGAGTCCCTTATGTATACCATAGTTGCTATTTCTTAGTAAATTAAAGACTTCGAGTCACTGTAATAGCTTACTAGGATTACAAACAATTGTTCCTTTGATCAGATGAAGTTCACAAGCAGATCAAAAGCCGAGCATCTCGGACATTAACAGGTCTCGGGAAACACTTCAAGAAGCTTGATAAATCAGGAGACGGCACACTGGATAAAGATGAGCTCCAGGAAGCACTGAAGACCTATCACATCAAGCTTGATAAAAAGGTGAGTCTACATTAGATGACACTCTGAATAATGATCTTCTTCTTATCGAGTCACTACACAAGTCCCGTCCAGTGCACCACACAGGCTTTGGCACGGCAGTTCACAGCTTCTAGGTCATCTTGGGTGCATGGCTCTGACAGTGGGCAGACTAGCAGGTGTTCCATTGTCTGTTGAATAATGATGAAAGTGCTGAAGATTTATCACATGTAGCTTGGCAAGAGATAAATGCTGGTATAGATATTAAATGCTAGACTTGATATTTCTCTCCGTGCGTTCTAAACTCGTCTGGTGTTACCATTCACCAAGTAAACAAACCTTTCTTACAACAACAAAAATTTGTGAAAATAGTTAATAAGAAAGGTAAGCTTTTCTGTCCAATCCAATCCAATCCAAAAGATATTTGATATACCGGTAGCGCCTTTTCCTTGTGGTTACAAAGCGCTGCACACACGCTCCACAGTTCTTTGTCTATAAAGGTTGAATACATGTACATAGTCAAAAGTTCGGTGGTTTAAACTTCCTTCAGAACTGAAAGGGTTGTTGCTGATAGCAAGTAGTTTGTGCACTGCCTGAAGAATCACCAATAATTCAGAAAGGTTTATTTTACACTCTGGCGGAGAGAATGAATAATCAAAATGTGACACATACACTTTACAGTATTGTTTCTTGTGGGACAGATTCGTTTTTATATTTTTTTGTTACTGACTTTCCGCTATATGGTTGGCTTTTATCTACATGTAAGTTTCAAATCAACGATGTGAGTGATTTGTGAATAAATGGATCTTATCACGTAGATGTATACACATGAATCTGTGTCGACAAATAAGATTTAGTTCATGTCTGTTTATTTCTAGCTCTTTGATCAGCTGTGGTTGATAATCGACCAGAATGGAGACGGAGCGATAGATTACAGTGAGTTCTGCAGAGCATTCATTGGAGAAATGAATGAATTCAGAAAACATTTTGTTATCAAGGTATGTTCGATTTTTGTATCATCATCAACATTTTTTCATTTTTAAAGCACGTAATATGGTATATGAATTTTATTTCATAGCACAGTGTCAGTCAACATCTTCTCTATCCCCTAAAACCCCACAAGCAATTACATCTTGATATCTCTGGCATTATGTGACTTTATTGCTTTTTTCAACGTTTAAGCTATTTCAGTGCTCTATAACTTCTTACAGTCTAATATCTTGAGGTTTTCTTGTCTGACAAATATAAGTTAGTCCTATATTTGCTAAATCAGGTTTAAGTCTTGGCTGTGGAACCTTAATGGTGGCTACCTCTTTTTTTTTTTTTTTTTTTTGGGGGGGGGGGGCATTATTGATGCTGAATATCTACATGTATACAGAAATATTTACTCTTTCTGGAATATATTGGTTTGATATGTTAGATGAAACCTGTGAACTATTTTACAGTTATTATCATAACATTATGTCTTTGTGTATGTGAGGAATACAATCCTCTTACCTGTATTGTTTGTGTTTTTTGCAGGCTTTTAAGAAGATAGATGCAAACAAGTCAGGAACTGTCGGCATTGATGAAGTCAAGAAGTTCTTCCGTGCTCACAAGCATCCACTTGTTATATCAGGTGAGGTTGATAAGGCCTAAAAAATCTGTGTGTTTTTTTTCCCCTCTTTGGGCTGATATTTCTCAGTTTTGAATGCTTTAATTCATTTTTTTTTTTGTATTCATTAAACATTTTTTTCTAAAAAATGGTAGAAAAAATATTTTAAAATTCCGACCGACCGACCCATGTTTTGGCACCTAAAGGGCAATACAACAATTTCCTTAAAGAGCTGACCATAGATTTCAAGATGTTGGGTTCGGTTGCCAAGGGCAATACAATTTTTTTAATTGTACGCCTAAGGGTGAAGGAAATCTCATTTTAGCTAGCTAAGCATGAAATGTCTTGAAAGCATCCAAAATGAAAAATGCACGATTGTAGAAAATCTGAAATGTTATTGCTTAGAGATAGAACAATGTCATCTTAACATACAGGCTGTAGAGCTGGTAAAAGAGCTCTATGGCTTTGATTAGGCTAAATGATATCAAAACTGCCATTGGGTTATCTCAGATACAACTTTCCATTAACCAATATCACCAGTTAGTGTGTGTGCCACTTCAATTTGTTTCATTAATAACATTCGCAAATATTTAATTGTTATTGTAAAAAAAAAGGAAAGATTGTGATATTGGTCAGCCAGTTTTAGTGAATCATCTATCATTACATTATTTGATTATGTTTTTCAGGCAAATCAACAGAGCAGCAAGTACTGAACGATTTCTTGGATGTGTTTGGACCTCGTGTGAAGGAGATATCATATGGAGAGTTTGAAGATTATTACGAGGGCGTGAGCATAGCTACAAAGAGTGATGATGACTTCATGAACTTAATACAAGGATGCTGGACATTGTAAGCAAGTGCAGAGTTACAAAGATACTCTAAAACAATTACTTATAATTTCAAGCCAGAATTCATCAGCAATTGCTTGCCTTGTCACCTTCAAACTTGCCCCACTCGCTCTTCATCTTCTGTATGGTTGACTGGGCCTCACTCCAAGAAGCGTGCTGGAGACGTTGCTTTCCCTTCGGTTGCTGCAAGGTTGTGGAACAAGCTACTCACCACCCTGAAGACTGCTACATCTGTGGACCAGCTCAAGAAACTTGAAGGTCATTTCATAAAACAGCATGGATTTCTGTGTTTTCAATTGGCTCAGCTGGTCATTTTGAAGAGTTTTATCGTTGTTTTAACAGCCCTTATACCACTTTGTGGAGCGAATTATGAATTTTGAATAGAGAGGGGATCATCTGGCAGCGTTTATCGTGGGTATATGTGGAGCTCTGTGTGTCGACCCCAAGCCGGATGCTTTCTACAAAATAATTAATTAATTCCTTTGTAAGACTTTTGAGTTATGTAAAAATCGAAAAGCCATTGATTGCTATCTTGGTTAAGTAGAAGGAACCTTCCAGTTTCTCACATTGTTAACATATTTAAGACTGAACAAATTATATGCCATGGTTCCTTTATGCCTGTGCTTCCTATCAATTATGGTTTCCTTTCTATTTGTACACTGCTACTTTCTCTGTATAATGTTCCCATAAAAACAAGTAGAAATATCTCTACATGGTCAAACAGTAACTATAGTTAAGTCAAAGTGGAAATCTTAAAAGTTTGATTGGTTTTCTATTGGTTTTGATTTCCAACTAATTAATACAATTTCTACTACCAGTATATATGAACCAGTAGAGAGCTTCCCATTTTATTCCTCATTTTTTGAAATCATACCTTTCCATTTGGACATTCAAGGACTTCAGGATGCGTATTGTGAATTATGAATGTATGTACAAACTGTGCAGAACGGCCATATTTATCCCTTCAATTTCATTTACATGTAAAAGTGATATAAATCTGCTGTATGGAAACAGATTTGTTTCAACTGTCTCCAGATCTGAACATTCCTTCTGTCATTCCAAATCATGTCTTATCATTTTCTGTAAAACAGAAACTATTTAAGTGAATCAGTTAGTATAATCTTTTATGAACATATATTGTAAGTATGATGTATTCTTCATGTATGCTTTCAAGATGGGTCATTTACGTTGTACATTGCAGCAAGGAATCTGTCATTGTAGCTTTCATGTTCATGTATTCAAATTTGATTCATAATTATTACTTCAAATATGTATTCTACTGATTATCTTCACTACCAGAAAGCTGTCTCTTACAAAGCTGCATTATTCCAGGATTGTCTGACATAGCAACTTTCATTCTAGCGATTGACACTCTTACAATGCTTATTTCAATGTGCTTGAGAAAGAATCATCTTTATATTTGTTTCAGTATACAGGTTCTTAAAGAAAATGTAACTGTAGTATGAAAAGGAAAACTATGAATATCTCAGAGATTGCCATGAGGGCCAGATTTCATGAAGGAGGTTTAGTTTGAAACATGGTTACAACCTCCAAAAGGGTAGTATTTGCATGGCCTTGTGTCTAATTAACAAGCAATGTATGCTTGGACATGTTTGTATATGCTCATTTTAAACTGATAGTGGAAGTTTGAGACATGAAAACATCCTTTGTGGACATCAAAATGTAAACTCATATATTTATGTAGAGTCAAGAATTTCTGACAGAATAGAAGTTTAGTACCATGTTGTAAGTACTATTCACAAGGACTTGTGAGAAATATTTAAAGCAGTGCAATTTTCAAAGTTTCAAGATTTAATCTTGTAAAGTTAAAATTATTGATATCTTTTGTCATCAAATCTTTACATCTTGAACCCGGCCCCCTCCCCCCACTCCGTAAACGGAGGAATATCATGCGTGTTACCAAAACGTCCGGTAAAGGGGTAGTTTTCATGCACCAAAGTCCGCCTTGTAGTACACAAAAATCCGGCCCGTATTTACTTTACACACCGGACTTAGTGGGGTGTTTTCAAAAGGAGGGAACATGCATATGCGTACCCTAATTAACACTGAGTGGAGGGGCCGGGATCTTGAATAAGCTAACATTTCATCAAGTTCTTTCAAAAAACCACCTCTGGGTCATATCCCATAGAAATCATGTTTGGATTATCCGATTAATCACATAATGCTTCATAGTAACATTTACGAAAGTTGACGGACAAGGCAATTTTTAGAGTTTTCTGGTACTGAGTCTTTACTACTGTGTTTGATCTAGCTTTTGGTAAATCATAGTTCAAATTCATGGTCAGTACATAAAAGTTTTTAAAAGATTGTGCTTTAATATGTATATGGGTTTATATATTCTTGCCATTAAGGATAATGAACAAGTCTTTTATGATGTAATCACTGTCAGTGTTGGTAATGAAAGTAATGTACAATGAAATAGAAATTTAACTTATTATCATGCATAATATCTGTATATATGAATAAACATAATTGATATAATGTATTTTGTTTTCCCTGGAAGCTTTCTTGTTTCATTTTTTGGTTATAAATTTATTGCTATGGAAATGTGTTATTTCCCAATTCATGTCAAAGTAGGGTTTATCTCATGCTTTTTCATTTTTTTTTTTTTGTTGGTAGAAGTAAGCAATAGCTATAGTTGCATAACCGTGTTTCATTATAACAGCAATTGATTGAACTACTTGATAAATTTAGCAAAGCCAAATCTAGCAAAAAAGAAGAATTTCCACCAGAACTGATTTCCATATTTGCTAAATCAATGGCATAACTTGTGAAATCAGCTTGGCATAGCAGCTTTTTAGATATTATTGACAGATTCTGGGTGAATATGTTGTGCCATACAAATTGGAATTGAACATACTCTGTAGATGACAAGACTAAGGCAGCCTTACAACCACAAACGGATGGAGAAATAGATAGAAACTGACAGACAGATATATAGATATATATAATTGCAGGGCCTGTGACAAGATTTTGTTTACATACTGATGTGGCCACCCTAGGTTATGGAGACCATATTATTATCGTTATTATAGATAGATTTGATGGATAGATAAAGAGCTGGGTGAAAGAAGAGATTAGAGATAAATATAACGAGAGAGAGAAAGAGATACAGACGAGAGAGAGAGAAAGAGATACAGACGAGAGAGAGGGAAAGAGATACAGACGAGAGAGAGAGAGAAAGAGATACAGACGAGAGAGAGAGAAAGAGATACCTCAAAGAAATGAGATGCAAAAAATGAAGAAAAAAACAAATATAACTGTTTTCAAATATAATAATCTTTATTAAATACAGTTTCCTTTTTTATTTTACACATGTATGTTAATAAAACAAATACATGTATACAGGGTGTGATATAACTTTATATTATCTACACCAAACTATACCATTCTCATTACGTTGAGTAGTTACATCAGAGTATGAATCACAGTCAACTCATCAATTTCACCTAGGTACCTCAATAACAAGTCAAGATGCCTCCATTCTAACATTTGTATCATGCCGGTCAACTAAACCTCTCTGAATTATATCATTTGCTCTATTAAACAAAATAGTGCAACAACATAAAAAAAGCCAAATCAACATCTGTTAAATATGTCATCATGGATAAATTTTGTTAATTAAAACACTGATAAATTTACGGTCTCTATAAAGCATATTGTGCTTCTCAATGGGAAGTAGAAAAAAGGATGTCTAAGATTGACATGGATACCCTGTGTATAGAGCAGTTCATTCTTAAGTAAAACTCATGCTACTGCAAAACAATTTGATAAGGCAACACAACCTTGCAGAGGGCCTAATGATATCAAACATGTTTAAACATATCTAATATACTGAATAATTGACTCTGACTCAATAGGAATTCTGCCTACAGAATAGATTTAAACTATATCTATATCAATAATAATATGATATAGTAATCTCTTATGGATGGCCACCTTGCTAATTTGCAATATATAAATACAAAGAAACATCAACAAAATACAAAAAGAAAGTAATGATAATAAATAAATAAATTAATTAATGAATTAGATGAATTCCTCTAGCAAATGGCCAATTACTAATATCCTAAATATGATCATATTTATTTCTAAAGGGAATGATATTAAACTTGTTGACCTCAACTTCATTCGCCTTGAGTTGAATAAACTGTGTTGAATGTGTAATAATTTAAAGTAATACTTGTTTCTAGACCTACTGGCCAGTATGCATGAAGGCATTATTAGTTTGGTCAAGGTTTACACCCTGACTAAAGTGGGGGGGGGGGGGGATTTACTTCCTAATCTAATGGTGTAAAAAGTGTCAGCCTCTTCTTCCTGTCAAAATTATTATAATTCTGTATAATAAAAAAAAAGGACAAACAAAAATCATGTAATTGTGAAGTCAATTTTTCATTTTTTTAGGGGGTGTAAAAATGACAAAAGGTATTGCCCTTCCGACCCAAAACAGACAAGAGCGATATCTTAGTCACACCACAAGACTAACTCCAAACCTGACTGACTGATTGGGGGCAATGTAATTGTTTATTCCATCAGGGGGGTGTTTCACAAAGATTCTAAGTCAAACTTAACTCTAAGTTGGACTTAATATTATTGAGAGCCATTTGTAGCCTTAAATAAAATATATTCAAAAGCGAAAATTCAAGTATTTTAGACTTTTTATAAATTCCACATCAACAGCATGAACTCTCCTTGATAATAGAAAATATGAATGATTTGAATCGACATTTTATGCCTTTTAAAATAATTTGTACAAAATATTTTCATAGATGCTAACGGCTTTCCATAATTTTTGAAGTCCAACTTAGGATCTTTGTGTAACACGCCCCTGTTGTCGGTCTGGTATCGGTCTCGCTGGTGTGACTGGGCCGGGTATACATTGGAAAGCCAGTACAATACAATGTTTCCACAAAATAACATTTTACAATCATTATACTCACTAGACTATCAAATAAAAGATTTTCATATGACTATTTCATACAAACTAGTCCCCACAAATAGAAAATATATAAATTCATATTTGGATTAGCATACATAAATTAAGTAAATGTTATTAATACTGTTATTAATATCAGCCCAACCACCATTGAAATGAATAAAAGATGATGTTCTAATGATGAACACAATAGAGAGATATTATTCACTAATACTCTGTTTTTCATTTATGGAGGGAAAAACTCCATTATGGTTTTGAATAGTGTTTGCTACATGTATTTATCACAAAAGAAAAAGAAATACTTACAGGAGGCTTACGAAACTTGACATGCACATGTATAAATGTAGGTCTAGGGTTTAACAATTTAATAGAGTCCCTAACTTCCATGAGCTCATGTCATAATCTGCACATAACAGAGGTACCTACCTAAAAGGTCTTTAACATACAAATATTTAACATATATTGAGGGGTCAGTGACACAAAGACGTAACTCCATTTTGGACAGGAGAACGATTTTAGGCACGCTAATGTCTAGGGCGCCTGTCAGCATTGAGCTCTGTATCAAGCGATTGTTTCCATCTAAAATTTACCAGGTTGACCTTTTCCACAGACACATTACCTTGAGATAAGCTATCCTCTTACAGTTCTCATGGCTGTTTGATAATAATAATAATAATAATAATAATAATAATAATAATAATGGTGGCTTCTTATATCTAGCGCACATGTCCATCACGTTGTAGATCAATGTATTGCGAAAGGACATTAGTGTCGCGATGGGACTTGAACCGCGGACCTTGTGATCGACAGTCTGGCGACATATCCACTCGACCACGACACCTCTAAGTTTGATGGAAATTTACTACCCTTTTGGTCTTCAACCATCCAAAAGAATCAAGAAAACAATTTCCACTGAATCCATGACCTGTTAGGATACTTTGTGACCTTTAATCTTGTCCTAACAGAACCTGAGAAACTCTACACATAGCATGATTGCAAAGACTGTCAAGAAACCAACTCAAGGAAGATTTCATTACCCTGCTCTATTACTCATAAAACTATCTTTGATTATGTAATATATCATTGTAATTTTCACACATTTCAAAACGTGATGAACTAGTCGATTGATATTGCGTCAGGTTGACTTCTTGAAAGCTTGAGTAATTGTGTTACAATAAGTATTTCAAATGGCAAGCTACAAGTAAATGCTGTAGGTTTACTTTACACAGATATCATGTGAGTCATAAAGTAATTCACAAGTTGTAATATCAAGCAAAATATACATACTTGATTAATATAAAATGAGTTAATTACAGGTTAGTATTCCTAGACTATCAAACTACTAATTATATTTCATATTCACAATAATTCCTATCTTCACATAAGTTGCAAAATGCACTCAAGGCAAGGGATTGCAATTTTCCTAAAGTTTACAGAAAGTTTCAGTACAGTCCAAGCTACTGCTTAGAAGAAGGCTAAAACAAAATACATCTTAACTTTGTGGATATTTGTATGATTTTTTCTTCTTCTATTTGGTTTTATTTATCTGTTTATTCCATAAGATATTTCAATTTTAAAATGCACTTCTGAATACAATACATATATGTGATATTGTTGGGAGTATGGTAGTGCTTACATACTCAAAGATAAGGGAAAATCCAAAGAATCAAATGAATCAGACAACATTAAACTTCAGTGGAATATGTACATTTTCAGCCATCTATTGAAGGAGGCAGGATAGGTTACTTCTGTTTCTCTGATGCAATGTGGTGTGCGGCTATCTAAATGTATATCAAATTTTGTAGGTGAGGATAGCTGGATTTGGGAATAATATGTTTTCCAGTGATCAGTTTTTTTATTAAAGATTACCCCTAAATGAATAATTTTCAGGGATACACTTGTATATTCAGGTACCAAATGTTAAGATGCACAATGCACGACAGAATGCATAGGTAATGGGAAGAGATCCCTACTCAAGATTATCCCTAAATGGATAATATTCAGGGATACACTCATATATTCAGGTACTGAATGTTTAAGATGCACAATTTTAAACAGAATGCGTAGGTGATGAGAGGAGATCCCTACTTAAGAGCAAAAGATTGTATCCCAGATCCAAAGATTATCTACAGTAGCAATGTGACTGAATGCAATGAATAGGAGAAAGGTAAGAGAAAGGATGACATGGGAAACTAGAAGAGAAAATAAAACAAATTATAGAACAGAACCACTGTAATCATTCCTCTAACATATTCATATTGCACCTAAAAATAATAAATTAAGACAGAATTTCAGTAATTTCTAAACATCTGTTTTATGCAGGAAGAAATATTACAAGAAATTTACACTTCTTTCATTGATAGCACCTTTCATCTAAATGTATATTTATGGGTACATTTTTGTTCTCGTTTAATACTTTTACATTTACACTACATTGTAAACAAATGCAAATTGAATAACAGAAGTATTGTCTAAATTAAAAAGAACATCAAAACAAAAAGAAATTCTCAAATGTATGCATTTTAACAAAATGATAGTGTCATCATCACCCCCTTATAAATATTTGCATCTGTATTTATTAGGATGCTACTTCCTTCTTGAACCGTTTCTTATACCTTGTAACAATAAAAAAGAACAGCTAAGTCATCAAAACCCTCCCACCTTGTCTCATACTTTAATAAAGGAAAACAAAAATAACCTCTGAATTTCTATGTAATCCCAAATTCTCTTCTCTTTTTGCTATGATCCTTACAGGTACATTAATCCTTATCAGTTTCATATCATTCTTTGGAAATTGCCTCTCATACAAAATATTCTTAAGCACAAAGTTCTTACATCGATAACGGTACAAAGTCTGGTGATTTGGTGTTCCTAACGGAAGAAGAGGAAACCCCAACGTATACTTGTTCAAAAGCAGTTTAGGAACCAAATTCAAACTTGAAAGCTTGAGCTTTCTGAATGTTTGCACCGCAGTACAAACTAACCAACATTGCGTTTGAAGATGTTTGCACCACATTACAAACTAACCAAGGTTGCGGTTAAAGATGTTTTGCACCGCAGTACCAACTAACCAAGGTTGAGTGCGGTTGCAGATGTTTGCATAATGGTACAAACTAACCAAGGTTGCGGATGAAGATGTTTGCACCACAGTACAAAATAACCAAGGATGAGGTTGAAGATGTTTGCACCGCAGTACAAACTAACCAAGGTTGCGGTTGAAGATATTTGCATGTCACAGACCACATACTATCTTCAGAGTAGCTTGTTGATCAACAAATTACCAGCTTGAAATAAAGTCTTCCTGTATACAAACGTGGAACTTGAGCATCCTGCTACAGAGTTGTAAAGTGGGTGAATGTGACGAGGAATCAACAGGCAGGTTCAAACATAAAAATGGTGCACATCTATCTTCAAAGCAACTTTCCCCAAGGCTTGTAGAGCAGTTGTACACAAAACACAGGCAAAGCTGACGTTTGGAACACCGCTGAAGTCCTTTCACATGTTTGATGGCTTGTATGTCTAGCTTAGGGTCTACTGTTATAATACACCACATAATAGTTTAGATGCTTTACTTGGAATTCATGACCTCAAGTCCATATCTTGGCTAGATATCGGCTCCAGGCAATGGTTTGAAGTTCATCAGTTTATTCTTGAGACTTTTATTCCCTGAACAGTAGCTCATTCATCTTGACCCGAGAGTTGCTGCTGCCTTTGGGTTGGTTGCTGAAGGGTTAAACTCTCTGCCGTCTCTACGACCGGTTGGGGCGGAGTCACGCACATCACATTCACCCCTATTTGCATTGGGAAAGGGGCGTGTCGGTCAATGTTTAATACCACAATCTCCTGCAAAACACAAAGAAATGCCATAATAATTATAACACATTCATCCATCCACTTTCATGAGGCATAAGTAACTTGCAAAGAAGGATTTACAAGAAAAATACTTAGGTTTAATTTTCACTTTCATAAGGCATATGTAACTTGCAAAGAAGGATTTACAAGAAAAATACTTAGGTTTAATTTTTCTTTTGAGGGTACAACCAGGGGTACCAACGATGTAATACATATGTCATTGCATACTTTCAAAATATTGCCTCAATGTTATTAATCACCCCCCTGGAATGCTGTAAGACAACACTATGCATGCGATTCCATTTGGACCAAGGCTAATCGATGTGCTGCCAAGATGGATGGACAGTAACCTAAAATTTGCTTCTGTGATGATTCACTCTGGCTTTACTCCTTCAAAGGTGTAAGGTTAGGGTCTAGTCCTGGGTGGTTGACATTTCGAATTGAGGTTAATTGACCTTGAGCAATGGTCCCAGAAGCAAGTGGTGTACAACCAGGGCCCCACTTCACAAAACTTGTCAGCAGTGAAAAATGAGTCTTTGTTATAAGCTAGTGAAATTGGAAATTGGAATTGAAACTAGCTTCTGATTGGTTATCACCAGATTTATCACTGATTTTTTGTCATTTTTCATAGAAAAAAAGGCTTTGTGAAACAAGTCCCTGGGTCCTGTTTCATAAAACTTTTTATCTACAACAAATGCTAAATTTCTATGACAAATTTGCTCTCAGCCAATCAGATGCCATGATTTCAGTAGCTTATAACAGTAGCTTGTAACTTGTTATTGATATCAAGATTTATAAAACATGGTCCCTGGTGGACACCTGCATCTCTAGATGGGACTCACCTCATCTTTGTGTAGCGCTAGTGGAGTTAAATCACTCAGCTTCTGATACAAGATCTGACCCTGACTGTCATAGGAAACAACTCTTATTCTGCAGGAGAAAAGAAAACCCAGCATTAAAGATAAAGTTGAGTTCTGGTCATGCGATTGCATTGTGAAAGAAACGGTGTGAAATCGATCAGCAAAGATTGATCGTCTAGCATACAAGTATTGATGTGTACTGCAAGGTTCTGGAATCATCAAAATGATAAGAAATTTGGTCCAGTCTTGGTAAAGTTACAAGAACTATACACAGAAATATGTATATGGGACTACATAAAAATGTGGCATAAAAATCCTTCCCGATTTGTATGCTGTTACATGCGATATTTAGAATATTAAGGCATTTGAAGAGCCATGCTTTTCAGGAACATTTTTTATCTGATGTTCTTCCACACTTGCATATTTTTCACCCCTTCCCAGAACTCAATCTTCTTTTTTAAAGGTCATGTACAATGTTGGTAAGCCTCAAAACTTCTCAGTCAGATTTCTATGATTTTAAATGATGAATAGCAATACACAAGCTCTAAATTATTAAGGTCTCAGGTTTCTTCTTCTTCAAGCACAATATCAAACGAATGAGAGGTACATTTAACAAGGAATTTTAAGCCCACTACATAATCCAAAAACATCAGACATACCTAAACATGATATTTCTGCTATTCTGTAGACTGACACTAGCTGTGACAGGATGAGTACCCGTATTCCGCCTCAAAATAATCAACCTAGGTTTCAAATAAAAGAAAACACAATATTAAATACCAAGATGGGGTATAAAGGGGTTAATATATCGTCGCCTGGCTGGCAGAAGGGCGTTAGCTCGAATTTCAGGTAAAAAAATGAAGCGTTAAGCAGAAGAGCGTTAGCACTAAATCGCCTCAAACTTTTATAAAACTGACTTATTTCTTTAAAAAAATTGTGGCAGTGTTCTATTATAACATTTCTATTAGTCTTTTAAGTTTTAAACCAATTTTCGGGACGGAAAACAGTTTAAATATAAAACAAAGCTTTAAATGTGAATAATTCGAAAAGTAGTTTTCGAGTCGATATACACCTGTGTCAAAAACACTATTGCGAAGACTTTCAAGAAATCACCGGCAATGTAGGACATTTTCAATAAATTCAACAGCATCACCTTTTGAAAGGTACAAGCATTACAATGACATATATATTGCACAATCTAAACATTCTAAAGTTGTTGAGTGAACCTGAGCGCTGTTTCATAAAACTTGTTATCAATAACAAGTTACAACAACTGTTGAAATCGTAGCATTTGATTGGCTGAGAGCAAATTTGTCATAGAAATTTAGCATGTGTTTTATGAAACAGGCCCCTGGTATCACGAAATATAATATGTGAATTGTTTTTTTATCAGAGCTTGATAAAGTTAAATCCATTTGCCATCTTAATCCTTTTATCGTGTGAAAAATTTAGCACAACCCATTCTCCCTTCAATGTTCACTATTATTATTATTATTTCAATTACATAACTTTTCTTTATATAATATATGTACCTGTGTACACCCTTTTTACGCAGCTTTCATATATGGAGAAGCTTTTATGCAATGCTTAAGGCTATGTATAATCACCCTGTGCCACATTGTATGTACCATGGCATCATGAAGTTGTGTAATCTATAAAATTCTATTAAGATGCCATGATGAATTTACATGTAAGTTAACATCTAATTTTTCTTTAATCTTTAAGTATGTTGAATTCCTGATATAAACTTTAATTATTTGTATGCGCCTTGATCATCTCTAGAGATGGATATGTTGCGCTTTATAAATATTGTTATTATTATTATTATATGTTTCATTGGGTTATTTAAACTTACCTATTTGTAAATGTGACAAGAAGATCAACTCCAAAATTGAACCCTGTCCACCTCCAGCAATACTGCAAGAATAAAGGAAAGAGAAACATGTACAAACATTTTCAGAAAGGAAACCTGTAACATATGGTCAAACCTATCAAACCTGTATATAGCGACCGCCAAAGGTAAACATAAAAAGTGGTCTTTGTAGACAGGTTCCTTTAGTACATGTTTCAATGAGAAACCATTTTTAAGGCAAACAAAAATGTGGTCTATGTAGACAGGTGGCCACTAAAACAGGTTTGACTGTATATCAATGCCCAAATGCAGACATAAAGAACTAACTAAACCTTAGGGTATTTCATTCTTTAAATCAGTATACTTCAAAAACATATTTGAAATATTTCACAGGTCACATCATGTGAACATGCCAACAAATCTGTGATACATCAAAGACAAAAATGGGTGGAGCTTGTAAAGGGGGCGTGGCCATACCTCTGCGTCTTTTTTGATGATTCGTCCACATCTCATACTGAGCTGATCAAACTGATCTGCAGAGACCGTCTCATCCTTCGGCCTGTCAAAAAGAGATATAATACTTCTTTTATAGAGAAAACATAAGAATTGGGTCCTTTATTTGACCCTACACTTTAGCCAATATATTGTAATACTCAATACAGCCAAGCTTTCATAACACTAATGCATGTATGTGGGTCAAAAGAGATACATGGTGATAAAATACCTCCTCTACTATCTGCACTAATGTTACTGACCCGTACATGTACATTAGGAGATGATGAATACACTACACATCATTTTAAGTGAAATTAAAGGTGGTACATGTATGCATATATCTATTTTTTAAATGGTTTTGAATGGTTTTGCCTCTCCTGTTTTTCCAGGCATCTATAAGCATGTCAGTTCCACAATTTGATTAAAACAATTATTGTCAAAATGTGTCATGTTTGGTAAAAATGTTAATTTTGCACTTGTCTATCTTGATGAGGTTACAAGTAAGGCCTAAAATAGAAGAAGATGTATTGCCCTTTAGGTGCCAAAACATGTGCCTGTCGGTCGAACCCAAATGCTCACCCTAGGTCCTGGCCATGCTCCACGGCTAACATGTGCTGCCATTGCTGTCTGTACACTGGCAGTAGAAAATCTGAAAGAAACCAAACAACATTCAGTTTAACATTGGAAATTCCTTGGATGGTTAGTACTAGCACTTTAACTTGCTTCTCACATACATTTACTGTACGTTCACCATTATATATTTGCTGTCCAGAGAACTTTCAGCACTTTTGGAATGAATCTCAAACACTTTTTAGAATGAGATCTACCCTTATGTTTATATTTTCACTAGACGTGCACATTCATATGATTGGCAGAAGCTATTTGTAAAATATCAGAATTACAAATCAGATTTACAAAATAAATGTTGTCATTGAGATCACACGGTAGTGCCCCTGGGGGTGTTTCACAAAGATCCTAAGTTGGACTTACCGATTATGGAAAGCTGTTAGTATCTATGAAAATATGGTGTAAAAGTGATGTACAATGTCGATTCAAATCTTTCATATTTCCTATTGTCGAGGAGATTTCATGTTCTTGATGTGGAATTTATACAAAGTCTAAAATACTTGAATTTTTGCTTATGAATATATTTTATTTTAAGGCTACAAATGGTTCTTCATAATTTTGAAGTCCAACTTAGAATATAAGTTCAAATTAGGATCTTTGTGAAACACCCCCCTGGTCGACTGGAGGTTTATGTGCTTCAGTGATGTATGATAGTCACAATTTACCTTGCATAATAATCTTGTCATCTTCTACATGTCTACAGGAACTTGGCTCATTGATGATGCTTCCTAATCTTAACACAGAGAAGAGACGAGCGTAGGGCGCCCCCACGTCAGACTTCAGAAAACAACCTGCATCTGTGAACCACAGGAAAGACAGAGGCAGAGGCAGAAGCAGAGAAAAGAGGCAAATAGAAAGATAGATAGTCAGTGAGAAAATAAATAAATAACAGACAGAATGTAGGAGAGATACGCAAAACACAAGACAGTATCCTGTTCAGGACCATGATGTAAAACAGCTTTTGTATCTACAATGTATATCTGATTCTTGTTATCCTGAATGAATATATTTCAATAAAAAAAGAAAAATAAAGTAGGATAGATGAAGAATCAAAATTTAATTTGTTCAATAGGTCATGTAACAGCATTATGTCATACAGGTCTTTATACATTGAATACTTCTAAGGAGCAACAGAACACTTGTATGCTCTTCTGAAACTGGCCTTGTAATACTCCTCCTCCTCCTCTTCTTTCTTCTCCTCCTCCTTCCTTCCTCCCTCCCTCCTCTCTCATCTCTCTTGTCTTTAACCATGTACCTGTACTCTTAACTTACTGTATCTCCTGAAGTATTTATCAGCTTCTCTTCCGAGCATCTTGGAATCTCCCTGCCATGAAGGTGTCAGCTTCAAGAACACATACTGTAAAACAAACACAATAATTATCACTGTTAACTAACATGTGATCTACATACCTTTCATTTCATTTCAATCTTTTATAAATCTTTTATTAATTTTGTATTTCATTTATTTATTGTTATAAATATACTTATGGTCTTGGGTGTGAAGATAAATTGTAGATAACCTAACAAGCTCCAAAAAAGAATGGATCATGCTTACAATAATGACAATTAAAACATTTCTTCAGAAAAAAAAATCTGCACCGGAAATAATATATCATTCATCTGAGTCTGTTCTTGTGTAACTTTGCAATAGAGACATGTTTACACTCTCATGGCCATTGTTCAAATATGCCCATATCCCATGTTCCTTGTCTAGTGCTTCATTCATAACTTTGTTTGTGATGAATTGATGTAATACGTGCCATATAACATTGTCTGACAGGATATTTCTTTAACTCTTTACTTGCCATGGATCAAAACCCTATAGACTGTCACACTGTTTTGAGTATATAGAACATTTACACTGTACTTGTGATGAGAGTTGACTGTGGCAGGCCAGTATTTGTTCTACTAGTCAATCTAAGCCTGTAAAGAGTTAACTTCATGGACTCCCTTAATTCTAATCTAACCTTTTTAACCATAGAGTAGACATCCATCTCCACTTGTAGCACAAAGAGGTTGGGAGATTGGATCACTTTCTCAAATAACTCAGAGCTGTAGCGGCAGGGCACATATGAGAAGTAGGAGAGGGAAGAAGAAGAAAAATACAAGAGAGAGAGAGAGAGAGAGAGAGACAGAGAGAAAGAGACAGAGAGAAAGAGAGAGAGAGAGATAAAGAGAGAAGGGAGAGAGAAAGGGAGAGAGAGAGAGGGGGATATAAACATAAAGAGAGGAAAAACAGAATGGATATTTTTTCCGAAGGGAGAGTAGAAACAAAGAGAAAAATACTGTTAAAAGAAATGTGTCATTATAAAAGGTTTTACAAAGTTGTAATGTATAATGAACTCCCCTTTATTTGGAATACCTTGCACAAATGGTCAGACATTCTAATGCTCAAGATCAAGTCACAGCACTGATACACATATCCTTCATGACAGCCAGAAGGGTATAAGAGTATTTCTTTTAAACAGGGGTGATCGTGAGCACTAAAAAAAAAAAATTCTCTGAGAGAGGAAAAAAAACACTTTAACCTCTTGAGTCCCTGGAGTAAAAAAAAAGATTTGTGAACAAAAATGGCATCTAACAACATTTCCCGCCTTTTGAGTAAAAAAATTGGGAACAAATAGGGGGAAATTGGAGAGAAAAAAAATTGGTAAAAAAAAAACATTAAAAAAAATAATAATCAGGAAACTAATTTAAATTGGGTAATTATCAGGCCTGTTTAACACCCTGCTGGGTCTATTAAACAAAGCAGTAACTCACCTAAGTTCCCTTAGTAATGTTGGTTTCTGTGCAACCATCAAATTCAGCTCCAACCACTCAAAGCAACTGCATTTAAGTGAATTAAAAGAAATACAATTAAAAGATAAATACACACCATTCTGAAGAAAAAAAATTCCTTCTTTGGATGAGTGGCACATTTAACTATTTCAAACATGCACAAGAGGGAAGAGAAATTACCATGAAAATGACCTTACCTGGAAATTATCTACAGTTTAAGTGATTTAAAAAAAAAAGCCTGTTAATTGAATTTACGAAGAATTTCACTTATATGCTCCTATTGTCTCTGTTCTTTTGTTTGTTTTGCTTTTACTCACAGATTTTCAATCTAAGCCATACAAATGAAATCCAGAGGAGTTATACTTATAGAATTCCATGTTATCTTAGAATTAATGACAATCTCATGAATACTGGGAGACAGAGAAGGTGATAAGACAAATATCTAAAAGTGGTGCATCTTTGCAATCTAATTTACCTAATACAGGTGTTTAAATGCAGAATACCCTATCATAAATCAGTGCAATATATTAAATGTATTAGGGTTGAATTGAACTGAATTGAATTGAATTTTTCCAAATTTGCATTAAATATTCTGAAACACAGTTATATACAAAAGAAAAAGTATAAAAAGTAAACAAACATAAAATACATGCAAATTAAGAAGATAAAAGGGGTTGGGGTTAGGGTAAAGATTAGGGTTAGAGTTAGGGTTAAGGTCATGCAGGGCTAGGCCCTAGGATAGGGTTTAGTGGGGTTACCTAGTCTGCAAGCTCAGACCTTAATTTGACACTTAACAACAATTCCTAAAGCCTTGAGCAAAGCCGACATCTGTCAGTTTCTGATTGTGTCAAGTACATAGCCTATTGGAGTCTCAATTTGCAGACACTGTTACTTGCAATGATAGACAAGGGTTTGTCCCTGCAAACTAGGAGTTACCGGTGTGGGGGTAATTGTAGCGGATTGTAATTTGCGACCTGCAGATCGCAAACACGCTCTCAAACAGTCCTCAAACACGCTCTTCTAGGGGAGCGATCATTTACTGCCTGTTCATCGAGACTGTGGAATGGTCTCCCCCCAATTTTTTGCTCTTGCCACCAGTTATCCACTTTCCGAGCTCAACTTAAGACATACCTATTCAGATTGCTGACAATAATGCTGACAATAAGGCACTGCTTTTTTGTCTTTCCCAGTTAGAATCATGAACAAAGATTTTTAGTAGTTTTTCAGTCGCATCAGTGCCTTTGATTAAGCAACTAGATATTGGCGCTTTATAAATACTTTGATTGGACTGGACTGGATAAATGTTAATAATACTGACCTCTTTGCCACTTGTTGTAAGCCATAAGATGTTGCTGCTGAATGGTAGCTACACACTGTCTTCGGACTAATGGTTTCAGTCATAATATCAGCACACTGTTGGATAAGTCCTTCCTGAATTATAGAAAGAACAAATATTTACATATTTAAATTATTGAGATTCATTTAAAGCCCCACTGCACTACATATAGCTACTTGTGCCCTCTATATAGCAAAAAATGCTTAATCGGTGCCTGTTGGTCCCCATGATCCTCTTTTTCTTATGTTAATTGAGAGCTGATTTGATGAGATAACCACCTGTCAGTGACCTTGCAGGGAGGTCTAATCCCCCTGGCCAAACTAGTATGGATGGCCTTTAAAGTTTATTTGTTCAAGTAACATTATAGATATATTAGGCAGCATTCAAATATTGGGAATATTCTTTTGTGGCATGAAATCTTTGTGCATCTTCACCACTCATAAAATTGGCAAACATTTAATCAACAGCAAAGTTTCTGACTTCACAAATTTACCTTGGCCCACTTGACCAAATATTGCATATAGGCAGCCCATAATAACGTGGGCAAGTTTCCAGACTACAGGACCCTGTATCATAAAACTTGGTATCACTAACCAACTACGATAACAGATACAAGTAGACGCTACCGAAGTTTGTGCATTTGAGTGGCTGTCAGCAGAATTGTCATTGGATTTTGGCAATCGTTACATAATATCTATTTTCTGAACATGTCCCTAAATAGACTTACTAGTTGAAGAAGTGAAGCGGCGGCAAGCACGGAAACAACCTTGACAGGTTCTATGAGTACGTCATCTCTGTATAACGAGCCAAGGGCGATCTGTAAGGCTGGGAAATCAACAAGTCATATCAAGAAGCTTTTAGGATCTTTGAGATTGGCATCAAAGTTAGACTTTAACAGAGTTTCTTGTTTGCAAATGTATTTGGATTAATATCTTGGGTGCTGAAGTGTATCAGCAAAAAGTAAATGATATTAAACAATTCAATTCAATTAAATTAAATTTTATTTCACATTTATTTCAAACACATCTGAAGATATTTAAACAAATCAGTATATATAAACAGGTCTGTAGCCTACTGTAAATTTATTTAACCCTACCCTGGAACTTAGACCATAGACTAACTACTTTTTTCAAACCCGACTTCCGACAAAAGTCGAAAACCAGTGTCAGGATTAAATTTTAGTATAATACAGTGCGTCCCAGAAAAAACGAAACCGAGAACTATTGACGTTTTATCATAACTTGGTCACATTTATAATTAATAAATGATACATATTTGGAAAGCTTAGATCCTCCTCTTTCATTTGATGCAACTCATATGATGCATATTTCACGCATGAGTGATTAAAATCAATTTGAAGAGAGGAAACCAAAAAGTCATTTGGCGAACGGTACCTGAATTTCAACGAGAAAATCACATTTCTAGAAAGTTGAGTATCTGTCCTTTCATTTGACACCTCAATCAGGAAAAATGAGCAAGGAATGACAAATTTCTGTTTGTTTAAAGTAGTGCTTGCATTTCCATAATTTTATCAAACGAATTCATTTTCACTGGCTGCCTGCCTTAGCAACACACGGAATTAAGAAAAGACTTAACTTCATTTCGTTGACAATCAGTAGTAGACGAAAGACTTCATGCATGGCTGATTGTCAACGAAACGGAGTTAAGTCTTTTATTAATTCTGTTTGTTTTTACGGCAGTCTGCTAGTGAAAACGAATTTGTTTAATCAAATTATGGAAATGCAAGCACTACTTTAAAGGTAATACAAAGTTTGGGGAATTTTAGAAAATTGGATGGTGGTGATTCTTTTCAATTTTGATATATTTGGATGCCCCTGTGGATTTAATATAAGCAATAGAAAATTTAGCCCCTAAAACACTTCTGCTTTCGAGAAAAATCGAATATAAAAATTTACCGGTGCTCCCGGTAAATCCTGATAAATTTCAAATAGCGCCGTATGGCCGTACAATGGTAGATGCGACCATGAACATTGCAGAATATTTAGTTGTGATATATAATTTCCAAACGGGAATAGCTAATCGGTCAATTTTAGTCAAGAAACATTGTTTTATAGCTTAATTAATATCTTGACCTTAAGAGGGAGCTATACACCATAAAGAGTCTATTATTTATAATTTCATAACTTTAGAATTGATTTCAACCGCGACAAAGATCACTGAATATTGTAGGATCGCTTATGCTTCCAATATGTTGATTTGAAATTTCCAAATTCATGACCTCATACCAAAACTTTGTATTACATTTAAACGAACAGAACTTTGTCATTCCTTGCTCATTTTTCCTGATTGAGGTGTCATAGGAAAGGCCAGATACTCAACTTTCTGGAAATGTGATTTTCTCTTTGAAATTCAGAAACCGTCCGCCAAATGAGTTTTTGGTTTACTCTCTTCAAATTGATTTTAATCACTCATGCGTGAAATATGCATCATATGAGTTGCCTCAAATGAAAGAGGAGGATCTAAGCTTTCCAAATATGTGTAATTTATAAATTATAAATATGACTAAGTTATGATAAAACATCGATAGTTCTCGGTTTCGTTTTTTCTGGGACGCACTGTATTGTCCTTAGAGTTTACAAGTTATTCTTCTTTTAAAAAACTTATTGTCTTTAATAATCCTATATGCGTATGATGTGGTATTAGATTTAAATTACAGTATATTAAATTTAAAGTCTTGTTTAATTTTTGTTTAATGTTTAGCTTATTAATGCTTGAATTTAGCATGAACATGTAATTCAGAAGCTATATTAAATGTTGTAAATAAGAGTGACATTGACTTACCCTCTTTATCAATGTTTGTGTCTGGTACATCAATATCTATCTCGGTGAGCTTTGATTCTCTCCATGACCCATTGAACATACTCGCAAAGTAACTCGACTACGTACAAAATTAAGATACAAGAAAAGACAAGATTTAAGGTTGAATACCAATAGTTATACTCTACAAAAATAAAAATTCAAAAAATTAGAAATGTGTATACCTGATGTATATGCTCTATACATGTGTTTGAATGAAGAATGGACCTGTAATTAACCTTGTTGGAAAAACATACCCAAGCTTTTGACACACTCTTATATATATGTAAATGATGGCAAGTATAGGAAGAAGTATCTAGTGTAACAAAGGCCCTATGTGCACTCACTGATTTGTGTGTTAAAAGATACAGAAAAATGTAAGGTACCGGTATACTACAATTAAGTGATTTCATTTTTGTCAAGATTTGTTCTCTTTCATTCTTGTTGATTACCATATTTGCCGGCGTAAAGGCCGCAGTATTTTTGGAAGAGAAAATATCAAAAAGTCGGGGTGCGGCCTATGCGGCGAAAGAGTAAAAAAAAAAAACTAAGTCAAAACCAGCACAAATTTGCACATATGGGACTGAGAACGGTACAATAATTATACCACTATGGTATAGGACATTTCCACACATCTATCTTTGCATTGTTGACATGAAGACGAAAATAAACTCCCAAAAACAACATCTGCCGATAGATCTTGATCTAAGTTCGTGCCAATGCATTGCAAAAGTAAAAGAGGGGCCCGTTAAACGGAGCTGCCGCGAAGCATCCAGCACGCGAAGTCGCTATTTTGGGCGAGCAGTCTAAGGTGGTGATTTTAGTCACATCAACATTTGTACGCAAGAGATCAAATCAAATATTTGCCGGCAAATACGCTATGTGGATTACTGCCCACGTAAAAACAAGTCTTAAAGCCCCTCTAAAGTGTTGAGAGCCCCAAATTTAACAAAAATTGGATGGCAAAAAACTTCATTAAAATTGTATCATAATGTGAATGAGAATGTCATTTAAAACACACTTCTACAAAGATCCCCCCCCCCAAAAAAAAAGTGCTTGAAGACAAATATTGATAAAAAAGTGCTTGAAGACAAATATTGATAAAGAATGCATAATTTGGGTTTTCTGCTGTGTGCAGAAAACAAAAAGTGTATATTCTTTCATCAACATTAGACTTCAAACACATTTGTTTTGAAAATCCTTGAGAAATGTGTCTTAAATGACATCCTCTTTCACATTATGATACAATTTTAGGGAAATTTTGCCATCAAATTGTTGGGGGCTTTCAACACTTTAAAGGGGTTTTAAAATCTCCACACAATATCACAACTTGAGTTAAACACTGAATAGAATACAAACCTGACAAAGATATATCTTGTGAAGAGGCCAGTCCTTCCCTAGGGCATGTATTGAGATGTCAGAATTCTCCCCATTCACAAACAGTGCATTGTAGATGTACTTGGAAGTGGACTTCATCTTTTTTCTGAAATAATAAATAAGTTTATTTTAAAGGGGTACAATTGCAACAGCTATTGGCAAGACTACAGCAAGATCAAGTTACTTTCAAGATCTCTTGTTCTATTGTCCATTACATGATCAACATCCTGGTAAAGTTTCTGAGGAGCTGTAATTGGAGGAGCAGCAATTGGAATTACTGCACCAAGTAACAAGCAACAAGTACATGTCGGCAAATGAAATTAAGCCACAAAAAACTTGATCCACATTACACACCTACTCTATTTCGAGTACAGGAAAAATCCAGAATTTTTTAGTGTTGGCGATATGAACCAATATTTTGGTAGCCAATTTTTTTTCTTGGTCGAGTTGTAATTTTTGCTTAGAGATTCGAGCACTGGCCCACTACCCGTGGCCAAGAAAGGCAAATAAAGGATATGAAGCAGCTCTTTGACAATAGATTTCAATTTCAATTTTCTCTGATATTGGTGAGTTAAATAAATTGTATTTTCCTGCTAATTGGATGTCATCAATTGTCACAAAAGTGCAGATTTTGAGTGAACCCTGGTGAGTTTTGCACAATGGTATTTAAGAGTTAAACTGATAACGTCATTACTAGCTTGTAGCTCGCGCACAGGTTTTCCTTCATAATTATTTGGCCTTCGGCGTAGACTAGAAGGGATAGAATTTAGAATAGAATAGAGTTTAAAATACGGCTGCAAGATTTTGAACTGCATGTGAACGAAGATTTTTAGCTCTTTGTTACGCACATGCACGATACCATGTAACATACGAGAAGTCTGCATAATTTTGGACTGATAGCTTCAGTTTGAGGTGCAGGACTATAGCGTAGAGATGGTACTGAGCGTTGACGTCGACATCGAAGCCCTACACGAAGGTTTCCCGATGTCGGATGTGATCAGAGCTACCAAGTATCTCGCAGTAGACGTGACATCACGCATTTCGAGGATCTGAAAATGCTCTTACGCACAACGCGCGCGCTAGATTTTGAAAAAACGCAATACCTTATACGTGTGTTATAGTACCCTCGCACTCGCGCGCCGAATCATGAAAGTGTCACGCATTGCCGATCTTTGAACTTGGCGTCTCTGTGTGATCCAAATTCAGGAGGAAAATGCAATATATGATTAGACCTATGATTAAAATTAGTAAACAATTGGGCTAAAATCCTTTGCTAAGGATGGATATTAAACTGCTAAAAAGATGGATACGGAACTACACTAGCGTCATTTTATCTAGGGTCTAGACTAGTCTAGATCTAGATGATACGTATTGACTTTGCCATTGAACTTAAGTTGCGCTTAAGTTAAGTAGTCTAGGACCTCTCTCACTTAAATACAAAGCCACTCGAGCGGATCGGCCAATGAGAACGCATAAACTTACTGCACAGCGCTCAATGCGCAAAGTTCTACTAATTCAGCTACATACAATTCATAATCATCTTTACACATTAACAAAACACCATTCCATACGGGTGGGACTGTATCAAAAGTACTTCCTATTCGTGTTCTATTTACCGTTGCGGGGTGTGTAGAACTTCATTTGCCTCACTCTCGTCATCACTGTCATCTTCGTTAAGTGTTCTCTTTCTTCCTTTGATATCAGAAACTCTAGGGGAACGTGTGTAACCAGAAAAAGTGGAACCCATTTCAGTTGAACTAAGAATTTCCTTTCACAAGTGACATTTGATATGTTGTTTATTTACGAAATGTTTTTGTTTTCTCGCTTGGGTTTTTTTTCCAGCGAAGTTCGCAGCCCGAAACAATAGAATTCGCGATATGGCGTCTTCGAACAGAAAAACAGAAAATGAATGACGGTGATAAAGAGAAGAAAAATTAGATAAAAAAAGATAAATTAGATAAAATTAGAGTCTCGAATGTGAAAATAAAACGTGGCATACTATATAGCAGAAAAAATAACTTATAAACTTGTACATTTCAAGCGTTGAAAACGTCTAATTTCAATTTAAAGGTGAGATTATGATACACCCATTTAGGAAAACGCGAGTCTACGGAGTTTCGCTATACACAATATATATATTTTATATTATATATATATATATATATATATTTTTTTTTTGGGGGGGGGGGGGGGAGGGGGGAAGAAAAACCGAGCGTCAAATTTGAAAGAACACTGTAATGACAAAATCCTCTTTGTTTGATCAAAATCGGTTCAGAGACGGCTGAAATATCCGTAGATTTAACCATTTCTAATATTTGTGGTGCCCCACAAAATATTCGATAATTTGAGCCTACCATTGAAAAAACGAGTATTAGCGCTTTATTATACGTTTTATTCAAGCCAATTCCGATGTTGGCTTTTTGTTGTTAGTTACGATATACTTACAACCTGCCGGCCCGTCATGATTATTAATTAATTAATTAATGGTCACCATATTTTTTGAAAGTGGAGCTGAATTGGTATGATCGTATTGGCGGTCTAAAATAACCTTCATAGCAATTTTAGGTCCTAAAAGAGCATTCGAAAGCTCATATAAGAACAAGAGCAATAACAATTGCACTTTGAAGGCATTTGCGGTATAAAACGTCAAAGCTTCCGCGCTTCGCGCGAGACGGGGGAAACTGAATTCAGACGAGGATTAAAAAGTAGAGAACGGTACAACGAATCGTCTTCTTTCTCTAATGATTTAATTAAACGTCAAAGCTTCCGCGTTTTGCGCGGGAGGGGAAAACTGAATTCAGACAAAGATTCATAGTCGAAAACAGTACACCCCACTAAAAACGGTCTAGCGACGCCCCTGAGTCTACCCCTACCCTACCCCAGCTGTCCTTCCATCCTACCTCAACTACTATCCTATGTCTTCTACCACCCTACACGTTCATAATGCAATCGCATGACCGTAACTGGTCTTTATCTGTAAGTGATTCGCACACTTCGCACGCTTCGCTTACTCACCACCGCCCCCAAAATAAGAATCTAGCTACGTGCCTGCTGTTAAATATATAGCTCAAGCCCGTACAAGCTTTTAAGGAGGGGGGGGGGGTCTTATAGGGTTGCCACTTTTGAGCCAGAGGTGAGAGTGAGTCATTGCGAGGGGTGTAATGAGCACTTAATTTTTTTTCGTGAGAAAAAGTTTATCCGCGAATTAGCCGGCGAAAAGGCGGGGGGGGGGGGGGGGGGTGGGGAGGTGGTGGTGAGCACTAATTTGTACGGGTGTAGCTACGATGTTGACTAAGTTAACGAAATAAATCTTAATATATTCATGTTGTCGTGGAAAATGACCATGTGCCAATATCGCAAGTAGGCCTATTATACAGCGCGTCCCAGAAAAAACGAAACCGAGAATTAATCACAATACAGGGGCGGATCTAGCTTTTTGCTAAGGGGGGGGGGGGTTGACCAAAATAATGACGATGCGGAGCATCGTCCACGAGCCGCGAAGCGGCGAGCCGATTTTTTTTGGGGTGTTTCTTTGAACCCCGTAAGTGATGTTTTCCTGGCATCTATTAACACAATGGAGACCATAAAAAGCAGTGCATGATAACGTCTTTTTAAATCAAGTAACAGTTAAATACACAGTTATATCCAGAGTTATCATGACTTGTGTTTGGTTAAGTTACCTGATGAGTTGAATATCTTCTCACAATATTTGCACTTGAAAGGGTTTCTCTCCAGCGTGCGTTCTTTTTTCTTTCTTTTTTTCTTTTTTTTTCCTTTTTTTTTGGGGGGGGGGGGCCGCCCAAGGGGGGGGGGTTGCAACCCCCCCAACCCCCCCCCTGGATCCGCCACTGCAATTAATAAATGACATATATTTGTAAAGCATAGATCCTCCTCTTTCATTTGATGTAACTCATATGATGCATATTTCACGCACAAGTGATTAAAAACAAATTGAAGAGAGGGTACCAAAAAGTCATTTGGCGGGCGTTATCTGAATTTCAAAGAGAAAATCACATTTCTTTCATACGACACCTCAATCAGGAATAACAAAGTTTTGTTTGTTTAAATTAATGCTTGCATTTCCATAATTTGATGAAACGAATTGGTTTTTATTGGTTGCCTGCCATAGCAACGAGCAGACTTGACAAAAGACTCAACTCCGTTTCGTTGACAATCAGCCATGCACAAAGAGGACGACAGAGCCCCCAGAAGCTTAGGGGTTTGGGGCATTAAATTTCCATCAGATTAGCATCCAGTGTACCGCCTTAGGGCAAGCGAATCACTTAAAGAGCGCGCGTGGGGGAGGGGATGGGTGAAAGGCCTCCCGCGCGAAGCGCGGTAACTTAGACGTTTCATTAAATTATTATGAAAAGAAGACGATTTGTTGTATACCGTTCTCGACTCTTAATCCTTGTCTGAATTCAGTTTCCCCATCCCACGCGCAGCGCGGAAGCTTAGACGTTTCATTAAGTTATAATAGAAAGAAGACGATTTGTTGTATACCGTTCTCTACTCTTAACCCTAATTGTCTGAATTCAGTTTCTCCCCCTCTCGCGCGAAGTGCGGGAACTTCAACGTTTCATTAAATTATTAGAAAAGAAAGACGATTCATTGTACCGACTCTAAATCATTGTCTGAATTTTCAAAAATGTTTCTTTGTCCGATAAAAAGTCAAAGTTCGAAGGGAAAAAAAATTGCTGGCCGACCGACATAAAAAAAATCCCACCGACTTCAACCCCACACCCCCCCCCCCTTTAGCGACGCCCCTGAATGTAGAGTGGCCTGAGCGGGTAGGCACAGGGCGTGGTTCTATCTGAGATATCTGAGCCCCACCAACATATGGGGGGGGGGCGCTCAATGATATCAGAGTCCCGCCAAAATATTTGGGGGTTTCAATGATATCCGAGATCCACCAAATATATTTTTGGGGGTCAATGATATGCGAGATCCAATGTCTGGCATGATAGTTAGGGTTAGTTCTGACCGGAAAAACGACCCAAATATCGGATTATGGCTAGCTGCCCCAGGGCCTTGTCCTATATACGGATCAGGGAAACAATACTTGTCAGGTCATGTGGAACGGCGGGCTTGGGGGCTCAAGCCCCCCCCCCCCCCCCCACATTTTTGAAAAAGTATATTAAAGATAATCAAATAGAAAGAAATAGAAAAGAAAGTATGCTCATGTGACCGTAATTAAATGCCCATACCACTGAGCTTCCGGGGGCACTGCCCCCTGGACCCCACCTTGTGCCCTAAGGCTGGCCCCTGGATGCTCATCTGACCGTAATTTTAATGCCTAAAACCCCTGCGCTTCCGGGGGCTCCACCCCTTGGACCATACGCCAATTAGTGACCTGCTAGTGTCATGAATAAGGTATTAAAATATGCTCACCTGACCGTAATTAAATGCCCCTACCCCCTGAGCATCCGCCAATTTGTGCTACGCTCTACCTTATCTTAAATACTCTAGCCTCCCCCACTCACTTTCGACCACATTTTATTTCCCATTTAACTCCTTCATTAAACCTCGAAACGCCCCCAAATACTTGGGGGCGGGGCCTGGATCACGAGTATTATACTAGTAGTGAGTTGGTTGAAGAACGAAACCACGTACAAAAGGGGGGTAGTAAGCACATTTTTTTTTTTGGTCCTCCAAAATTTTAAAATTTGCACCCCCCAAAAAGGTAAAAATAACGTGATTTTACATGATTTTTTTCTCAAAGGGGGGGGGGGGGTCTGCAGGTACAAACCCTGGTCAGTCGTAAAAGAGAGTCTGCACTATAAGACCAAAGGCCATGTACTCTAGCTGCTCCTGACACAAGTAGGTAGCTGGGCTAGGCTTCTCTCAAGGCACAATGGTTTTTTGATGAAGTGTCAAATTAGGGTCTGTGTTTGCAGAATTACTACCACCCTACCTGTCCTTACTACCTCTACTACTATGAGTACAATCCTACGTCTACTACTTAGCCACCCGCCTACCCGTTCTTCCATCCTTCCTCTACTATTCTATGTCTACTTTCACCCTATACATCTACTACCATATAGGCCCTACTACTAAAATAAAATCCTAGCTACGCGCGTGGGGTGATAGTGATAGTGATAGTTATTTTACCTGACAGCTCAGAAAGCAATATATGCTTGTTAGTAAGCAACCAGAAGACCGACGGCTTAAGGTCCTCTCCGAGGGACCTGGTAACAAAGGGCACTAGCGCATCGACTTGGTTTCTAACCTGGGTCACCGGATAACGAGACCACTGCTCTACAGACTGAGCTAAACTTCTAACTTATGCAATTATTGTTTGTTTATACTAAATACAACAACTGAAATAATGATGGAGCTTAGCACTTAGCACTCAAAGAGATTAAGAGAGAGAGAGAGAGAGAGAGAGAGAGAGAGAGAGAGAGAGAAGAGAGAGAGAGAGAGAGAGAGAGAAAAGAGAAATCGAGATAGCACCCCCCCCCCCTCGTAACCCCAGGGGCTGCCAATGGAATTTCGCCTCTGACCTATTGCATCCATCTCTTTACGCGAAACCTAGCTGTTCCTGTAAACTTTTAAATATGACAATTTGTATGCATACATAGGAATAGAGGTCTGCAAACAAGACTAAGTACCTGTAGACGAATTTGTTGTAATGCGCATGCGCATGGAAGCCATCTGTGAAGTTGTTATGGGAAACTCGTGCAAACAACTTGTGGATTCATGATTCCATTCTGCAACCAACGAAAGACGAGTAGATCTTCCTTGTAAAGAGGCACCAAATTGAACACCAGTAAAACCGAATAAGAGGTACGTTTCAAACGCATGTTAATTTCATGTATAAATAGTCGTTATATTCATACAAATTCATTAAATAAATTAAATTATAGTCAGAAGAAATGACTTTTAAAGATACGTCGACTGATGCAGATACCCAAACAACTTCAACAAGCGCCTGCCCCAACGGAGTGGCCACCGCACCGGTAGCGCACAGGCGCAGCGCCGAGGCAGCTTTTGCCTTTTTTTAGGGACCATAAACCGACACGATTTGTCAGCTTCATAATTACTTTTCAAAATTATGGTCCCAAAAATTGAATATAGGCCTACGTCAAGTTATCTTCAATGTTTATTTGAAAACTATGTATCAAATTGGCAATATGAATATTCATTTGGGGGTAGATCTAGATCTATTCTAGAGTAGGGAGGCCAATGCCCGGGCGTAAGGCTTCTACGCCTACGATTTGTGCGCTCGTCGTCCAAGTCAGAAAATTACCAGAAGAAAATAAAAGGGGAAAAAAAAGAAAACAAATATCTATGGAATAAAATGTATAACAAATACACAATTACACACTCCACAACATACCTATAATCACGGATCTGTAATGCTCTTTCACCATTTGTTGACGATCTTGCAGATTTTGATGTATTTTGATCCAATAATTGCGCTAGCAGACGAAAATAACGGACGCACGAGAGAAACTAGACGGGTCCTAGAGGGCGATGAGGTTAGCTCACTAAAATCCTTCTCAATGACTGAAGGTAGCGCCTAAAAATATGGAATCAATTTAATATCAAAGAACTTTTGATAGAGATTAACATATCAGTTGTGCACAAATGTCACTTTTAACAACTAGAAAATATAACGAAAAAGGATTATATCTTTTTAATTGCAGATTTTTACAAACTGCACAATCAAAGGTAGATAGAGTACGATGTTTTTGTCAATCTTGCGTTGGTTTGAGCCCCATAGCTAGAGCCATCTCAAATTGGGGAGCAAAACTGTGACAAAGACGTCATTGTTCCAGCCCAAAATAGAAGTCTTGCGACATCATAATATGAATATGTATGAGGTCCGGTCTCATCGCGCGCAAAACAAATTTGACGTAGTCTCACACATAGTACCTTTTTCTCAGCACTAGACACCAGTGTCGTGCAGTAATGTATGAGAAGTGTAAAAAAAGACATTTCAGTAAAAAAAAAAAAGTCTACGTGAGCAGTCTATACTCCAATTGAGAAGTGTAATGAATGCCATGATTTGAACGTGTGTGTTTTAGTGTATGATATCATCATGGTTAGTGAGAGAGAGAGAGAGAGAGAGAGAGAGAGGGAGAGAAATATCTCCGTCAGTACACGTCTATCAATGCGTGCAGTCCTATTGACTATGTTTGATTCCGTATTGTGTTCGCTGCAACTGTTGGATTTATCGATCGTATTGTGTTCGCTGCAACTGTTGGATTTTGCAGTGTCAGATTGATCTTTACTCATGAGGAAATAATTGGAATACATATCAAAACTAAGGTAGGCCTATTTATTTATTTCAATCATTTTCTTAATTTACAATGAGTGGTTTTCGAGCTTTCTCTCATTATGGCATGGCTAGCATGGCTCGATTGCGGCTTGCATGCAATTACCGTACGTGGACGGCCTGTAGTACTGTGTCGGTGTGTGCGACTAATTCAAGGCTAGCCGGTGATGATGAATGCACTTTCGCGCGAAGTTTTGAACTTGTTGTCCGGGCAATGACCATGATGACACGCCCATTCCCTCGGGCCTGTCTAATTCTCGACGTAATTTTTGGGACCATGAAATTGATTGTTTCAAGGCTCTTGCGTACGGCCAAGCGTAGAAGGAAGGGAGTGCTTAAAAGCTGGATATCTCCTATTTTATGGAACTTCTGGAGTCGGCAGATGGGTGAGTTTTCTTAGTGAAAGTAAATGCTTTCTTTTAATCTTTGTTTTATTTTAAACAAATTCGTAATTAAAAAGTTAGATTTGGGCATTGGCCTCCCTATCTAGAGTCTAGAGAAACCTTCCTTTCCATAATTTTACTTGTTTTTGATTGGTTCGATTGTAAAGAGTGAGGTAATTCTATTAGTATTAGCATAATTTTTTGATCAGCTTTGTTTTTTAATTGTTTATGAGTGACGTCATAGCAGATATGGCGCCGCACACAGAGTGCACGTAATCCAGTCTATGAGAAACATACGTCATTACGTGTGCACAGTCAAGCCATCTTTTTGGTGGACGACCTCTGCCTCTGGGTCGATTTCCTGTGATGTTTCATTCAACAGTAATTTTTGTTAACAGAAGGGAAAGCCGAATGGAGTGACACTGCCAGTGACTGAGGAGACTGAGAGTGTTTATTTACTAACTTTTTCAATTTTAACAGAATATTCCATAATATTAATTTGCCAATTTGCAGTCTGGGCAAGCCTGTGATGATGCCATCTGGTGTTGTGCCTGTGGCAAAATAAAGAATAAAAATAAAAAATAAAAATCCAACAAGTGACTTTAATTAATTTCACATTGATTTTAACATCAATGGACATGGCATGATATTATTATTAGTTTTTATGTTGGTTTGAATAATGATTTCTGACTCTTAAAATTAAAAGATACCTTTACTTGATACAAGTCTAATGTAATTGCCTTTTTGGATCGTCATTGAGTTGTTCATTCTTTAAATTGGTTATTTTGTTAAAAATCTTAACAAAATAAATTCTTTTTTTAATAGTTAATTTCCAAACTGCAGCCTCACAAAGTCAAGCTATTTTTCACCAAATTCATACTTTTGCCTGATGTGTGTGTACAAGCATATCCTAAATCTGTACACATTCTAGAGTTACAAAATCTATCAAAGTCTAAAAAGATTACAATCCTAGTTGATATTCAGTCCTGTACTGGTATATAATATAGCCTATTGATATGTTGCTGATAAAATATGTATTTCTTTTCCTCTTGTATTTTTAGGAAGAGACTCAAGCTTCAGATCAAGAGCTAGAGCAACATGCCTGAATCATATGGTGCAGCGGAAGCTGTCGAGGACCACATCAGGACTTTCGTTCTCTCCAAAAGCGTCCGAGTTGCAGAGTTCTTCAAAGATTTTGACAGCTTGAGATCTGGCTTTGTAACACGTAAGTCTCCATTAACATAATTTTGCATTTTATTTGTCTTCAAAAAGGTTAGTACTATTTGAAATTCAAATCTAGTTAATGATTTGTGAACAAAATAAGATAATGAGCAATGAAACAGGGAAACATGATTGGAAATTTGACTCATAAATCTTTCTTTTGGTGTCCATGTTTGTAAATGTGATGGCAAAGGAAGGCATACTTAATCTTAAATGTAAAATAAAGAATGAAATGAATTAATTACACTAACATATATTATGCCATGTCTATACAATTTTCTTTTGTAAATTCTTAAAAGTTTATCATTTAGTAAATAATTGTCCCTATTTTTTTAAACACAATTATAGGGGGTCAATTCCGAAGATGTCTTGACCAAGGATTCAACCTAGACCTACAAGAAGATGTTCAGGCAGCGCTCATTGCTAAATATGAAACAAGAAAGGATGGCGCTGATCTGGTCAACTATCAGAGATTTGCAGATGTCATTGAGAGAAGTAAGTGTATCTATAATAGAGTAATTAAACCCTGCAGGAAGGGTTATTGGATTTAAAAAAACAAAATAATCATATCATTATTTTTTGTTTGTACATTCTAAGATTCATTTCAGTTTTGTCCAGCCTCCCCAAATAGGAAACCTAATGGAGCACAGAAAAGAGATCTCCCATAGTGTAACTTGAAATTAGAAGTAAATGTTTCTTCATTAGCTGAATGTTAATGATATTAATTTATGAATTATGTAACTTTTGCTTGATAGAGTATTTTTTCTTTAAACCTGGTATGATTTGATTTTAGTTTATGACACACATTTTTCAAAGGCTCCAGGTCAATCATAGCATACAATGGGTTTATAAAATCAAAAAGGAATTGCAGATTTTGTTAGGGGGTGGTGGTAATCACTTCTTTTTCTTTTCTAAGTCAAATTTATTACTCCCAGGGAAAAGTATCTGTTGTAATCATTCAAATCTTTTTGTTTTGCTTTTTTGTTACAGCATTCCAACCAGATAAACTCCAGGAAAGACCAGAGACACAGATTATCCAGGCACCAGAAATGTAAGTTTTTTTTTCTTCCCTCCTCACTTTGAAATATTTAATTCTTTACTGAATATGGTCAAGTAATGGGACAAATAGTGGACTGCCACATTTCTTTCACACATACATTGCAAATGTAAATGTACTATATACTCCAATCAATGTTTCAGTGTGGGGTTTCAATCCATAATAAGCAATTAAGGTATGGAATGTATTACAGTAACTTATTAAGTACTTTTAAGTTTTGATCATTATTAGGGGCATGGAGAGAGTGATCTGTAAAGATTACTATTATCAAACAATCAAACAATACTAGATCAGTGCAATATATACAAATTGAAAGGACTTTGTATATTGTCTGCTCAGAACCAGAAATCTGAGTGTGAATTAATGCCCTCTGGCTCTGAGCAGACAAGACATGTCCAAAATGCAACAGTGATGTGAGTGAGAGCCTAAATCTTGTTCAGTCTTCTTGTTCTCATGTCAAAATGTTGTTTTCCTTCCATTTCATATTAAGTACAGTCAAACCTGTCTATAGCGACCACCCAAGGGAAACACAAACAGTGGCCTTTGTAGACAGGTGGTCTTTGTAGACAGGTTCCTTTAGTACATGATTCAATGAGAAATTATTCTCAAGGGAAACAACAAATGTGGCCTTTGTAGACAGGTGGTCACTAGAGCAGGTTTGACTGTAGATCATTATTTCTAAGATATGTTTCTTTGTTGTGCCTGCTGTTTATACTGTGTTTGTTTCCTCATAACTGGTGATGATAACCTTTCCAATTATGTGACAACCAATTACACTTGACAGTCTCGGTACATCCCGAACGATCAGACCTCTGAGCCCTGCTTCACAGAGCCGCATCACAGGCATGATCCAACATATCGCTCCCTATTACAAGTACCATGAGATAACCATTCGCAGCTCCTATGAAGACTTTGACAAGCATAACAAAGGCATCATCACAGAACCTCAGGTATAGTAGAACAATGAATGTACAACAAAAATAGGAGCAATATAATTTGAACATTTATTTATCCTTATTTGACAGGCTTTGTATAGACTTAATTAGGGCAACCTTGGGTGTAGAAGTACATGTGTGTGCATACCTTCTTGAGTTAATGTAACACAATTTTGACATTAAAAAAAATAAAAAATTCTCATGTGCTGTAAATATATTTTACTGTGAGGTGTGCCATGCATGCCTGGAGCTGATATATACCAGCATTATTTCCATATGATATTATTATTATTATTATTATATCGCATAAAATATAAAATATATATTGGGATTTGTACTGCCACAGCACTTGAAGAGCTAAATAATCACATTTGTTATCTAAACCCTTCTCTCTTCCTTTCATCATCACAGTTCTTTCGTAGCTTTCCCTACCCTCCTGGTATAAATGAGGAAGACGTGAAGCTCCTGGCCAAACGCTATCGTGACCCGAGCAAAGAAGGCATCTGTAACTATCTCAACTTTCACAACGATGTGGAGAAGGCAAAAGAGGGAATGGTGGAGAAGCTTTTTGAGGGCAAACCTCCTGCAACATACAACATTCCTAAAGAGGTATACAGTGTTTAGTAGTTGAAATCTGTTTCTGTCTTGACCTGAAATGTCTGCATTCAGAGAGAAGAAATAAACTGAGATTGGGGAGCAGTTTAGATCAGGAGAGAACCCTAGCTGGAAATCAGAGAATAAATAATAAAGTAATAAAAACAAATACTGTGAACTGCAAGGGGGAACTTTTATTTTAATGCAGCAAATCAACAAGGAGAACTCGGGAACTAAAGCACTGAATCATTAAATATCTATCTTTTTATTCAAAAGCTGTTTATGCACTAAGTTATGGCCATATTAATCCCAAAGTAATATGTAGCTTTTGACTTTCCTTATTATTTTGACAATTATAATTTAGGCATTCTAGATGTGCCTACCATTTATATTACAAAAATTCTCAGCATTTAGAATTACATGACATTGGTAAAATGTAATATCAATATTCATCTGCTTAGATGGTTTGGTTTACCTCACGTTTCAATGTGTCTGTAATGGGAAGATGTACTAGCAAATTCCCTGACAAAAATCAAATTAAATTAATTATTTAAAGTGGAATCAACTATCTTGGATTATCAATGTAAGTACAAAAGAAAAGTCAAAACAGTTTACAAATGACTAGTCAAAATGGAAGATGATGCATGATTAACACATATTTTTCACCTCTTTCCATTCAGATTGAAGCTGATGGTGAACTAAACCAAATCTTCTCCAAGATCCAAGTGGCCATCCATAAGTTTGGCATCCGTACCCCAGAGTTCTTCCGTGACCATGACAAGCTCCGCAGCTACATCATTACTGAGAACCAGTTCAAGTGTGGTCTGTTGCTGTGTGTAGGTAACAAGGTCAGCTTGACCAGGGATGAGGTCCAGAAGCTCGTGGATTACTACAAGAGGCCAGATGGAAGGGTGCATTACAAGGAGTTCTGTGATCTCATGGAAAATGGTAAGATAGTAATATTAATAATAGCTTGTTCTTATATAGCGCTTTGCAGGACTGCAGGCCCTCTCAAAGCGCTTTACAGATATATATCATTACCCCGGTCATCAGATGCATGTTTAATACTGTTCAGTTCTATTCTAGCAGTGAATAGATATCCAATACAAGGATCTAGAGGATCAGATATGAGTTTGGCCTAGAAAGAGTTGTTTTCTTTCTGAAAATAAAGCAGTCTGCTCCATGTAAGAAATGTCAATTCTACAACAACAAAAATAATTCAGAGAGCTCTATTCAGTATACATGTCTATTAGATTTGATAATAATAATAATAATAATAATGAAAACAGTGCTTAGAAAGTGCTCACCACCGAAGTCTCTAAGCGCTATAACAAAAAAAATACAATGATAAACAATTACATATTAAACAAAACGAAAAAGTGCAATAAACCTACAAATTACACTACATATAAAATATACATTAATGTGAACAGAGTAAGGTAATCATCAAAATCAATTGATATCATTAACTGTTTGGTCAAGTGTGAAATAAGTAGATGAGCAATCTTTATTACAATCTTTGACCACCTTTTCCAATTCAGCTTTTAATGACCCAAACCTTGAGAAGAAGCCTACGACTGAGGTTTATCGTCCTCGGCGAGGAGAGCTCTCTAGAACCCTGAACACGCTAAGTTCACCCAATGAGGAGGATAGGCTGAGCATCATCCTGGATAGGCTGTCTACCGACGTCAAGAAGAGGAGGCTCATGATGATACAGTACTTCCAAGATTACGACAGGGTGAGTAAACGTTTGGAATGTCTAGTGACTGGAACTGGGGGGGGGGGGTGTTTCACAGAGACTAAGATCGTCTTTAAGTTGAACTTAACTATGGCAGGCCATTCTTGCCACCGTTTGCTCTCACCATTTACTGGCAGTGGTCTCTCAAGGGACGTACAAATCATGGTCGAATTCAGCTTTTTTGATAGTTCATTATTGAAGGAAAACTATTATCTAATAATCATAATTGAGAGAGCAACCATTGGCATGAATGGCCTGCCATATTTAAGTCCAATTAAAGTTGATCTTTGTCTTTGTGAAACACTCCCCTGGCGTTCAAAAGTGATAAATCTGGCTTTAGCATGGCTGCCATTGAGGTGCTCTAGCATTTCATGTAATTAATTCCTGCTAGGTTGCCCATTTACCTCACCTAGCTGGGTGGAGCATGGAAAATTTAGATTAATGTATTAGTCACTTTAGCTTTGAATAAGTGAAGAAAGCAAAGGAGAAAATCAATGTGTTTTTATTCAGGATCTATGGATTTAATTTGCAAAAATGATATGGATGTTATCATTAGGTTTTCATTATGATTTCCCAATGTTTAAAGACTGAGTAACTTCTTGCATAATCTTATTATATGATTTTTACTACAGCAGTATAGACTTTAAGACTACTGATATATTTTTTTAAGGCCAAATTAACCCTATGTTGAAAAGATGTCCCCTTTCATTCTGAAGAACAGCCTTTAGCTGAAGTATGCCACCTTGCTAAAACAAACAAACAAACAAACACAGTTACATTTATCTCCATTTTCTTTCCTGCAGAGCAAAGCCTACACCCGTAACATGACCAAGATCCAGTTTGGAAGGATGCTTCATTTCCTGACTCTCAATGTCGGCAAGGAAGATTTTGAGATTCTTTGCAGGAAGTTTGAAGATCCATCTACTAAGGATACCATCAACTACCCAGCCTTTGTGCAAGCAGTTGATAAAGGTATGTCTATCAACACATTTCTTCCATTAGTGATCAATAAATAATGATTTCCTTAGAAGTACCTACATGTATAAGGCCTATAAAAAAATGATGTCGTATTGCCCTTTGCGACCGACCCAAAAATCTTGAAATCTATGGTCGGCTTTTTAAAAAAAAAAGTTTTTTTTCTTTTCTGTTTTTTAGAGAAAAAAAAATATTAAAGCATTCAAAACTGAAAAATATCAGCCCAAAGAGGGAGAAAAAAACAAAGATTTCTGACCGACCGACCGACCAATGTTTTGGCACTTTAAGGGCAATACAACATCTCTTTTTTTAGGCCTAATTGATGTCATGTTTTTATTTAACCTAACTTGAAAGAAGAAAAGCAAGTGTATGCTTGAAAATATATATGTTCTACTCTATGTGTAACTGTGGACCTGATATTTTTGGTGTACTGTAAATTGACTTATTTGAAAATTTGCTTTATCCTCCATTACAGAATACATTGGGTTTACAACTGATAAGAGTGGTGATAAGGCTAAGAAAAGACCCAGAACACCAACTGCTGACAAACCGATTGATTCCAGTAAAGTGAATGTGGCTGAGCTGGTGGCTCGCATCAGGCATCATATACTCACAAGCAGAATACGAGTAAGATTCTTTCTTATTTTTCCTTACAACAGAAAAAAATCCATTCGCATTATCTTGAAATCTCCTTAATATTAAAGGCACAATATGTTTGTTGATATATGGCATGAGTCAAAACAAAAATTGACTCCTCTTCCATCAAAATGCTGCCAATTCACTCATCACTGTTCAGTTGCATATCATTCCAATTTTGATGAAAGGAAAGAAAAAAAGTTATTTTTACTATTTACTAATCATGGTATACATGTTTATTATAATTTTTTGATAATCTGCATTGTAGTTTCAATTTCAGTGATGCGAAATACCTTATTCCCACATACAACAATAAACCAATCATGTCTACACAGGCAAATAAACCATGCTGTAGTCAAAATGTGAGAGAGGAGGAGGTGAATTCTGTATGTGTACTATGTTTCAACCACGTTGCCATGTAAGGTAGTTAACATTGTCATGTAGGGAGCCTTATAGCCTGACCTAAACAAAAGATGTTGTATTCCCTATTTTTGCAACCGACCCAAAAATCTTGAAATCTATTTTTTTTTTTTTATGTTTTTTAGAAAAAACGTGTATTAAAGCTTTCTATATTGAGAAATATCAGCCAAAAGAGGGAGTAAAAAAAAAATGTTTTGGCACCTAAAGGGCAATACAACATCTTTTTTTTAGGCCTTATTATGATGTATATGTGTGTTTTAATTGAGAGAATATTTATTGTGAATTGTTACAAATATTTTTTTTCTTCTGCTCCTGTCAGGTTTGTGAATACTTCCATGACTTTGATCCACTGAGGGAGAGGTCCATCCCACGTAGCAAGTTCCGCATGGGTCTGAGCGCAATGGGACTGAGTGCTCTAGGTCAGTTCAACATGACTGAGGCTCAGTTCAAAGCACTTAGTGAAACCTATGCAGACCCAGCCAACTCAGATGCTGTTCTCTGGCAGAACTTTGAGAAGGATATTGAGACAGGTAAGCTAGACCAAGTTTCAAAGGTCATTATTTTTTATTTGTTCATTCTAACGTTATAGGAATTCTTGTTAAGCGTTTAAAATTGTTATGGAATGTTTTGAACAGAAAGTGGTATTCCAATTCTGAAAGTGTCACATGAACTGATGAATCCTAGTTTGTTCAGAGTGTTCCTGAGCTTATGAAATAGAATTGTAATCCTTTAGTATCACTAGAACAGGCTTGCCTGCCAAAAGCACCCTACAACCTGTATTTGATAAAGCATCATTACAAGACCAATTTCTGTGTATTTCTTGAAAAATAAATTTACATTGTATGGCTGTCGACTAGATATTATTTAACTGTTTCACCCTTTACACCCACTCTGCAGTTTTCACTCAAGTGGTTCCCAACCTAGAGAAGACTCCCACCAACTCTGTCGTTGCTACCGAACAGTTCTTATTGGACAAACCAGGCACAATCGACTGGAGCACTGCACCTAGTGAGGTCTGCATGACCGTTGACGAGGCCATGAACCGCATGAGGGAACGCGTGGAGCAACGCCGCGTCCTGCTCAAGCCTTGCTTCGAGGACTTTGACAATCACAACATGGGGATCGTCACCAAGAGCCAGTTCCGCCAATGTCTCTTCTACCTTGGTCTGAATGCTTCGGAAGAAGAGATGCTGATGCTGGAAGCCAAGTATACCAACGTGATGGGATTCAACTATATTAAGTTCCTGGAAGATCTGCAGCCCAAGGCCCAGCAAGAACTGAAGTATGTCCAGCGTCTGAAGGAACTTGATCTGGTGAATAACAGGAAGGTGTCTCTGGAGAAGAACCCACTCAAGGATGCAGACAGTGTCATGGAGAAGGTCAAGACAAAGGTATGTCTGCATTCTTGAAGAATTCATTCTTTTGATTAACAGATTCTATCTCTTTTCTTTTTCACCATGCTTATTTATTTTATTCTATTGGAATGATGATGATGTTGATAAAGCTACATTTTTATTGTGCACATATTCATCCCGGGGGATGTTTAAGCAGGTGGATGCTTGAGGCCGGTGTCTTCAAATTACTAATATTACTGGGGATTTAGCAAAATGGAAGGCTGATACTAAAGTAACCTTTACCTTAACTGAAATTAAAATTAAAAATCTTTCAATCTTGTATGTCTTGCTTGAAAAGCTGAACATGTTGAAAGAATTGAATTGAAATTAAATATTTTAGTTTATTTAAAATTATATTCCATTGTCATTCTTTTTCTGTGTTTTCTCTGTAGGTTATAAAGGAAAGGATGAGGGTACATGAGTTCATGCGTAATTATGATAAGCTTCGTACCGGCCGTATGCTGAAGGAAAACTTCAGACGAGCTTTGGACAATGCAGGTCTTGGTCTCCAACCATCAGAAGTAGAAATCCTCATAAATGCGTAAGTTTTCCTATACTAAATGTAGAATGTTTTTTAATGATTTCCTCTGTATGCCAAAGTGATACTTCCAAAATTTCTATTTTTGTGTCATCACGAAGATATGTATGATGATGTATTTTCTGTTGTACCTAATTCTGCAGAGTTTCTAATGCGATGATAATTGTTAAATCAATTTACAATATGGAAGTATAGTTTGCAATTTTTGTGCTGATGATTGAAAAATATGCATAAGCTAGAAAGCTTTAAGTCAGCTGGCCTCAAAATCCATCTTTTTAAACAAATGTGTGGTACATGACTTTAGGAGGAGCGCGCGCCTTTGAATGTTTGAAACAGATAAATGGCGCCAAAGAAGTGCTGTGGATCATCATAAACTTCTTTCTTTTTTTTTCTTTTTTTTTGTATTGGGTACTCAAGGATAACATAAAAGCCAATTGGCTATTTACAATAATGTACAGGAATGTATCACTTATTATTTTGTTTTATTATTATTCAACAGATTTGAATCTCCCAGAGATGCCAGTTTTGTGGAGTATCTTGCGTTTAGTGATCACGTAGAGAGCATCTTCACATTGAAGAACCTTGAGAAGGATCCTCTGATCACCCCAGAGCAGTTCAAACCAGCTGTACAGGTGGAGAAGAACATCCTGACTGGAGCGGAAGAGAATATCCTCAAGAACACTGTCGAGAAACTCGCTCAAAAGGTAAGACGCAGATCATATCTTTAATTCTTACTGTTAAAGCCCATCTTCTTAAGACGTGTATTAAAAACTAATGACAAATGAAAAGCACAAGTCAAGTTTACACATTTGATGCTCTATTTGATGAATGTGATATAAATTGTCTGTATCTGATGTTTAGTCTTTAGACTACTGAGCAAATATAATTTTTTTTTCCCCAAAATATGACAGATATCATATATTTTTGTAGTCTTGAATTTCCAATGTATAATTAGTTTGATTAAGTGAGAATTAAGAATATCAATTTGGCATGTTATGGCTAGGTGGATATGTTGGTATGTGTTATGAATTCTCAAAATATTTCCTCTAACATTGAATCCCTCTATATATTTTTTCACTTACAGGTCAATAAGGGCCGTGTTCAACTCTACCCGCTGTTTGAGGACTACGACCGGGTCCACAACGGCACAGTCTCAAGGTCTCAGTTCCGCCGTGTCCTCAGTGAACTCGAGCTTGCACCCCTGGTCAATGAAGTCGAACTCGACGTCCTTTGGAAGAAGTTTGAGATCACAATTGGGGGGAAGTTTGATGTGGACTATTGCTCCTTCTGTGACTTGATCTATAAGAAAGCAAAGATTGAACTCTTCAGGCCATGAAAAAATATCTGTTAAACAAACATAATAAATTATTCAACATTGCAATTTATTCAGCTGTATGTGAAGGAAACAGCATGCTCATGAAATAGTTGACCTAGTCGCTGGCTACAAATATTTGCTTTAAACAGGAGCATGGAAGAAACATATCTGCATTACAGTACAATAGGGCCATAAATGTTTTGTGAGCAGGATGTTAAGAACTTACACATATAAAAGTTTGGTTTCAAGTCAAATATGTAAATGAGGCTAAATTAAAGAGCGGAGATGTTACTTATTTGTTCTTGATGGTAAGATAAGAAAAGTTTGGACAATGAAAATATCATCCAGTTTGTGATTGTGTCTTTTAAAGATCAGAGAATGTGAATATTTTGGATATCTTTAAATTGATAAGACTCTAAATAGTACTGCGTATCAAAGTCAAATGTGAAAAGATGAATTTCTCATGGTGTTTAAAAGATGATGAATATATATTGGAATTGATAACAATAAATATTGAATAAATTGAAGTACAGATACAGGCAATTACTGGCTTTCATATGGATGTAATTGATAATGCACCTTTTTCATTTCCATGATGAAGGCTTGGCATGAGTTACATTTACCTATATGTGTCATCTTTGCCTCACTGAAGATTATTGATATTGTGTATAAATTATGAGTAAGGAATGTTGGTCAGAACAATTCAGTGTATTGCAAGGAGTTGAGTTAAGCCTTAGTCTCTCACAGTACGATAGAAGCTGCTTCACACAGAAAACTTTGGTAGAATTTGTATGCAGAATATGTAATGAGAAGATGAGAAATATTATATAACAATTATACAAGAGTGATAAACTTCCAGGCTGTCCATTATGAAGCGAGCAGTCTAAAATCTTATTGGCGATCGGAAGTCTCTATTCTGATGCTCTGCAATTATCTTGAGCAGACATCCATTCCGAAGGCATTGACAATGAATATACCCTTGTACATTGGAACTTGGTCCTTCAATGCTGAGTTTGATTCACCTGTACAGAGAATATTTATGTATATAATAACAAATGTAAATAAAATGATAACTTTGTGCATGTTGAAATGCATAAAGAGATTGAATGAAAATCATTTTCCTTTCTTCAAATGAAACCATTACTCTGGTAATCTATCTATCTTTGAATAAGTTGCATTATTATGTATTGGTATGCGCCAGCAGCTTATAGCCTTTTTATCATATAGGATTTACTATGCAGAATAAATCACCTTGTAAATGCATGATGGTATGATTATATAACACAGTTGCAAAATATTTATGGCTGCTTTTTTGTGTGTGGTAAAATTGAGGTCAGGGTATTTATACCTCTATAATTTATAATTTACATTAGATTTTATGTGAGGATTTTTGAATGGCCAGATAGGTTATCATTTGACTCGAGTTGCTGATACTCAATGTTGCAAACATTTCTAATGAAAGACACATCATTTGATAAAGAGATGAACCTGTCATGAGAAAATATTTTCTCTCCTTCTTTTGTTTGTTTAATTGTAGTAAAAACGATATAAAATAAATTTTGAATGATTTTTGTTTAAAAAAGAATTTAAATAATTGTTATATTTTACATTTTTATATTCTTTCTTAGGACCATCAATTTGTAATATACATGTCTTGTTTTTATCATACAGCATGGCACACTATATTTAATGAGTCGACTGTATGTTCCACCTTGACATAATACTTAGTGCCTTTGTCAGCTCACACATGTGTTTTATAGGTCTATGCAAAGTTTCCTTTGAAGTATTCAATAGAATCACCAAAATTTGTATGCAGCTTTTATGTACTCTGCCATAGAAGCACGATGAATTGAATATATGAATATGTTTTTCAATTATATACCATATGCAACTATTTCATTCCAATTGATAAATAAATGTTTTTCTGTGGTGCATATTGAAATTTAAAATTTCCGTCCTATATATAGTGTACTATTTTGTGTATTATATTTATACAAAGCTGATTTCTTTCTATTCTACATCTGTGTATTAGAATGGCGTCAGAGAAACATGGTAAAATGAATGTTTGGCAAAATGACTGTATTGCATAGTATTGAATATATATGTGGTGCATTTTCCATCTGCCATATGTTGCTTCTATTTGTCTTCTGGAGATTGATTAAATGTAAGATTTAATTCAATTTAATTGTTTGTTATTGTTCTTTGTATATGTTTTGTGTGCTTGATATGATTTGTGAGTTATGGAATGAGAATATAAACATGATTCCAGGGGGATGACATGGTATATTTGTTTTATATCCTGCATCAAAAATGTATTTAAAAAATATCTTAAAAATACAAAAATTTTGAAATTTTTATTGCAATTTTTAAAAAAATTGATTAAAAAAATTACAATTTTTATTGAAAAAGAAGTAAAAATATTGAATTTAAGATTTGAAGAAAAAAAAAATCAATTTCAACTCCCGAATAGTACTCCCAAGTACTACTTTTTCAGAGCAACCTTAAAATAGTAGAAATATTTCTGCTCACGTGATATTAGGGCTCTCGACCAATAAAAACCAATAGTTATTAAGATATACCATGACATTCATGATAAACTCCTGAATGTATCACATAGTCTACAACAGAGTTTAATACATGCATGTATATGAAAGTGGTAAATATAAAACTATAAGTTGCAAGCTTCATTAATACACCGGTCTATTTTGTTAGCAAGTTATGTTGTTGATTAAATTAAAAAGGCTGCATGACCCACAAGAAAAGTAGCAATTTCTGTCCTTTCTTTCTCTCTTTTTGAAATACTCTTTTCTCTAATATTTGGTTTAACCGATGTTGGTAGAACATATCATTTTATTCTATGCTTGAACTTTTGAGAAAACACATGCACTTATCATTTCAAGATCCATCAACTATAAGTTGTATATATAAGCCATTTCACTCTATATTATGTTTTTAAGGCATCGTATTTATTCATCAACATATCGCAACCAATGGCTGAATTGCATACATGATTTACAGAGATTTAATTTAAAAATAAAAAACTTCATATTTACAATTTGTTTTTTAACAATAATTCAACGAAAAAACTTTAAAAGGGAAGAAAGAAGTAAGGAAAGAAGTAAGATAAAGAGAAAAGGAAGAAATGTTGAGGGACAGGGAACAGAGAGAGAAGTGGAGAAAAGAAGGGAGAGAGTGATCGAGAGAGGTAGAGAGAGAGAGAGAGAGAGAGAGAGAGAGAGGGGGGGGGTGAGAGAGGAACAAAGAGAGTTGAATTGTCTTGAGAAGCATTTTGGCCTTTTTTTTTTAAATAGTACAGTAGACATCTACAAGAACATTTTCGCCAAGTCTCAATATAAAACGTTGGCTTTTAGAATTAATAGATGGCTAAATTTTTGCTGAAACGTTCTCCGTCATACTTCTCCGCTTCTCTGTTTTTTCCCCAACCTACAACACAAGCAACCTTTTACATGTTTACTTTTTTTCTTCTTTTTTGTAACTTTCTCTTCGAAGATACCGCAACTAAAATTGAACGTAAGAAGTGAGGAATGCAAGCTATAAAGTAGGAAAATACTAAGGTAGAGGCACAATTCTCGATATTTATTCTGGGCAAGCATCGCAGCTGTTTTGGAGGTAAATTTAGGTTTTGTTATAAGTTACAAATGATATTGCAATTTGGTGTGACCATTATCAGGATTGCTCGACTCGCTGTGCCGCTCAGTTGCTACGGAACGCGGGCTGCTGATCCGCCGTTCCTCTACCGATGAATGATGATCTGGCATGCCCCTCCTTTAAATGCCAGTGTGTGTGCAAAATTGTTGTGAGATGAAAAGAAGACAACAAACTTGACGGGAAGTATTAGAAGTACTACTCCTCAGAGTGTTGTTGCTATTGTTGTTGTTGCTGATTTGAATTTGTTAAAAGTGACTGATGCAGTGTTGTGAAATTAAGATAATAAAATTAATGAAGCGGACGCGGACGTGCTGATCAAAATAAACTCTTCCACAATTTAATCTAGACAGTCTGTCATTAACAATTTCAATGGTGGCATTTAACTCACCTAGAATTCCCATACTAGGAGGCCATTCGAGGAGGCGCGATAGCTCAGTCGGTCTCGTAATCTGGTGACCTGGGTTCGAAACCAAGGCGATGCGCTAGTGCCCTTTGGTAAGGCATTAATCCTCATTACCACTATCACGACCAGGTCCATCGGAGAGGACCTAAAGCTGTTGGCCGTCTGGTTGCTTACTAGCATTTATGCTTTCTTAGCAGTCAGGTAAAATAACCACCACTACTATTAACCCATACTTTTTAATCAGGAATTGTATAAGTGAAGTTCTCTTTTCCATGTTGTACTGTTTGGAGCCATTAGGGCTGTAACCTATATACTTTAACACAGAGTTAACGCCCTTCTCGCTCTGACATATTCCTTTTTTTGGTTTCCCTTCAGAGTCTTCAACCCTTGAGAAGAGATGAGTTCCAGTATGCCAGAAACCATTAACCCTTGGAGCAGTAGGCAACCGCCCCCCTCCAGAGCCCAGGTGTGCAATGAAGATGGTCTCTCTCCTCAAGACGTGCTCATGTCTCAGCAAGGCACATTAGAGTTCGATGCTGTAGGAACGGAGAGTAACCATGGTGATCAGCTCCGCAGCAAGGATTCGGGAGATGCAGTACAGAAGGAGAAATCAGGAGGATGTTCAGTGCAATGCAGCTCCTGCTGCTTCACTCTCTGCAAACCCTGCCTGGTGGAACATCATCCTCTACCTGCACAGCCAACACACTGCCAGAGGTTCCGGTATCTCCTCATGTGCCCGCCGCATGGAGCCTTTTCAAGATGGCTGACAATTCTTCTCCTTATTCTGCTGACTTGGGTAGTACTGTGGGCTGTCACAGGTAGTGAAGCGTTGCCAGGGGGTAACCTCTTTGCTCTCTTCATTTTGGTGGTATCCTGCAAGGCAGGTGGATTAGCCATAGAGGTCATCAAATTACCAGCTTTGCTAGGTGAATATTAAGTGGCAATCCAAACAATTAATATTTATTTGTGTACATTTCCATTTTAGTTCATATAGTAGCAACATAATGGACAGAACAATGTTTTTTTGCATCAAATGTATGTAATTTTGTAGTATTGATCACAAAGATGACTTTTAAAAATAAGCTAAGATTATGCTAGTCCTTTACAAAACAAAAAAATAGCTCTAAGAGAGAGAAAGAGCGAGAAAGAAAAGTAAAGTTTTTGTGTTATTTTTGGTACTTTCAACAATATGTGGCTTGTTGCATTGCAGGAATGCTTGTTGTTGGTTTCATGCTTCGGAACATACCAGTCATCAACGTAGCAAAGGACATCTCTCCCACATGGTCCTCATCCCTCCGAGACATGGCTCTAGTCATCATACTCCTGCAGGTTAGTTCATGTCTGCTACCAAAAATAAACAAATTTTATCTGAAATTTGTAATAATCGATGAATAATTGATTTTAGATCTTGGCTGTGACTTGTTTTATTTATATGACATTGATTGTTGTCATGAACTTTGTTCTAGATTATATTTAAGTTAGTATTGTCTGTTGGGAGCCAGGGGAGAACAAATAATCAAATTCCTCTGGCCCTCAACAGAAAGATTAAAATATATTACATTGTCATTTCATTTATAGTTATTTGTCTATGATAAGTTAATGTATTGTTATATTTTGTCCAAATGTGAGTCATAAGACGATTTTTATGCCTTCATTTTATTTTGTGCATGACAATAAAGAAATTTAATTCAATTCCATTCAATTCAGGCTGGTATCAGCTTAGATGCTAGCGCTCTCAAGAGGCTGAGTATGGTTTGTGTTCGTTTGTGCTGCATGCCTTGTATAGCCGAGGCCTGTACAGCTGCTGTTGTGTCACACTTTCTGCTTGGATTCCCATGGCCCTGGGGTTTCATGCTGGGGTAGGTTTCATTTCATTTCATTTATTGGTTCAACCATTTTTTGAAAAACAAACATTCAAAATTACAAACGATGTTTGAAATATGCATACAAAAGTAACAAAACATATTTGATATACAAAGTAAAAAATGATTAGGGAACCGGAAAGAAGCTTGAGCTTGTAGGTCAACAAAATATTATCATAATTTAGTTTTTGTTAAGATTGACAGCATGAATTCTTTCAAAGGAATAAGAGATCATGGAAAGGGCAATTACAAGTGTATCTGTAAAACTCCCTTTGAAATTTGAACTCTAGAACTCTCATTGTTTGTATAATAATATTCTGTGCTTACAGTGTATATAGCGGCTATCGCTTAATTCATTGCCGATGTCTCTAAGCACTTTATAGCTATATTATTACCCCGGTCATCGGATTCAAGCTCGCCCGCACACAATGTGTGCACATTTTCCACTCCCTGGGGAGTATTCCAGCCAGGCGCCATTCTACAGACGCTCCCAATGCCAAGCATACTACATTAACGTTCGCATCCAACTGGGTACCCGTTTAACACCAGGGTGGAAGGGAGCAAAGGTAGATTAACGTCTTGCCAAAGGACATTAGTGTTGGGCTGGGATTTGAACCCTGTACCTTGTGATCTACAGTCCGGCGACTTATCAATTAGACCACAACACTTTTGTATCATGCATCCTTCTACAGCTGGTTTTTCCTCTTCCATAGATTTGTTCTAGGAGCTGTTACTCCAGCCGTGATTGTACCATCTTTACTGAGTTTACAAGCCAGAGGTTATGGGGTGAGACAAGGCATACCAACCCTGGTCATAGCAGCTGCTAGTTGTGATGATGTCCTCGCCATCGGTGCTTTTGGAGTGATCCTGGGAATCGCATTTGCAAAAGGTGAATTTCAACTCTTTTTTTTGTTGTCGTTGGCTCTTTGCAGTACGTTGTTTTCATTTTACTTGTAGTTTCATCGGATTGAATGTTATTGAGTTATGATTGCCCTTTCTTTTCTAGATGTTATATTTGATATATATTCAGACTGATCTATTCTTTTTGAGGTGATTAAAACAAAAAAAGTTAATGGTTTTATTTAAAAAACAAGTTTCCACAAAAGTACTCGTCTAATTCTTGATTAATGAGAACTAAGTGCTAAATTTATATTAATATTAAGTCTTATATTTTTGTATCTCTCTCTCTCTTTCTCTTTGTTTCACTTTCCTTCTCTGTCTCTCTCTTTGTGTATGTCTTTGGTGTTTGTCTCTCCCTTTCTCCCCTCACTTCTCTCTCTCTGTATGTGGATATGTATCTTGTTCCTTTTCTGTGAAGGTGATATAATTTACAGTATTTTCAGGGGTCCTCTGGAGCTAGTGATGGGGGTATCGTTTGGCTGTGCGGCAGGATTCCTTCTCTGGTATATCCCTGACCCAACCCAGGTAAGCACATATCCAGGACCTGACACTAACACGTGCCCGAGACACATAGGTACCCAAAATCTAAGTTGGGATCCACAAAAATTCGAAGTTTTTACATGGCTGCAGACCTGCCAAGTGTCCTGCTTTCTGGAGAGAAAAAAAATCCTGAAAAAGCGAAATATCCTGCATTCTGCAATTTCTGCTAAAAAAAACTCAGTTAAAGAAAAACAAAAAACATGTGTCACTGCCTGCTCTTTTCTCTTTTTTTACTGAGAGGTCGCTATTTACAGAGATCAACATGTATCCAATATTACTAATGTCAGTACATACGATATAATGTGGAGCATGCCTGAAATTCGCCATAGGGTTGAGGTTGCTGTCAAGTTGTTACTGAATTCACAAACCATCTGCTTTTCTTTCACGATGAGTTTGCACGTTTGTGACTGAGCTTGTGTCACTTTGTTGAATACATGGACTGTAATGGACTCCTGATTACAGTTATCCCACATTGCAGTTTTGAAAACTTGGCAGATCTGTAGCTGTCATGCATACAGAATGTTAAATGTTCGATCCGGACCCCCTTCCATAATACTTAGTGTCGTTAGGTAGCTTAGAATTATGTTGTTGTATGTAAAACCACTGTTTTTTTTAATCAAAGGAACACATCAGGCCAATCAGACCAACTACTAGTGGCGACGTGTGAGATAGTTGAAAGATGAATGAATCATATCATTTCATAAGATTTCGTAATTCCAATCAAATAACAAAACTTTAAACATTTAAAATAAAAAAATAAAAAAATTTGCACTATATGACAAATTAACAGTATATGAGAGAAAAATGACCATACATAATGGAATAAACCTTGAAATTGGATTACAAAGGTTGATAGCAATCAACCTTTCAGGTTCTCCCGATGCACCAAACCTGTTCTTTTATAATGTTGCATCGATAGAAACATGAATCAGATGATAAATTATAACAATTAAATTATAGAAATTAAAGACAGGGCAAGTAAACAAAAGATGTACAGACTGCCTTGGTCAAACAACAAAGTCATGATTATACAGTAGGCTTGCGGTTGCACCATGTGAGAGAGGGGGAGGATTGGGAGGACCTGGAAAGGACTCTCTGTAATCTTTCGTTCTTGAGTGTGTGTAGTCCTAAAAAGGACAGTTGATAGCAGCACCAGGATCGTCACAACGTGACGGACATGTGCGCTATATAAGAAGCCACCATTATTGTTATTAGGAGAACTTTAGCACCGATTGGAGAGGATGGGTAGTAGGAGTGGCTCGACGTTTCAAACAGGTTGACTATCCATCGTCTCTCACATAGTGCAACCGCAAGCGTACTGTATATCTACATCACCATGCAAGCCGATACTTATAAAGCAGCATCTAAGTCATGATTATTATGTGTCTCGATTGGTAGATCTGGTTACCCAAGAAGCGTTTCATCCTGCTGCTCTACGGGGGTATCTTTGCTGTCTTTGGTAGCGGTGCTGCACAGTATCCTGGCGCAGGGGCTCTAGGCTGTCTCACCATGGCATTCATTGCTGGACACAGATGGAAAGAGGGAAAGGTGAGTTTCTTCATGATGATGATAACGTATTGGTACGTCTAGGACGTAGTGCATCCGCCCTTCTATTGGAAAGACATTTTTGGTAGTTTTTAAGTCTCATCAGCACCTTTGATTAGGCTACTTAATATTGGCGCTTTATAAATACCTGGATTGGATTGGATTCGAAAGAGGAAAGGTGAGTAATTTTTGTTTTCATAATGACAATGACACTTTTCATAGGTAGATCTAACAGGGGGGTGCTCCCTTTTCCCCCACTCTCTTCCCTTCTCTCCCTCTTTATTGAGAGAGCTTGGAGAAGGCCAACCTCTTTCTAGAAATCATGTTCATGGCGTCAAAAATCAACAACAAACTTTAGTTGATAGATAACTTTAGTTGAATTAGTACTGACTGAATAAGATTGGTTGATTGATAGATCATAAAAAATAACCAAAAAAGAAAATAGTCAAACATGCAGCTCAAACAAATGCATTCTTGTTTAGTTGGGTGAAATCTCAAAGGTAATGTAACTATTTTGAATGTTTTGAATTTTTGATCCTGCTAATTTAAAAAAAAATCTGTTTGTCGTTATAACACTCAACTGCATTTAAAATAGAACTGTAATATATTTTTTCTTTTCCTTATTGAACGTAGGAAGGTGTAAATACTTTGCTGTCGTATCTCTGGTTACTGTTTGAACCTCTTCTATTTGGCTTGATTGGAGCTGAAGTATCCATTTCATACCTGGACCCAGCTACAGTAGGTAAGGATATTGTTTGTTTCTTTGTTTATTTTATTTTAGCGCGGTGGCATACATCAGCAAATGGCTGTTCTTTAGCATGGCCGTGCATATGAAAAAGTAATCACAATTTTACGAAGAAACATACATTATAGATTAACATGGTTTACATACAAAGTTAAACATAAAAATACACACATATATATATATATATATATATATATATATATTTACAAATAAAATAGGTGAGAAATACAAACAAGCCCTCATTTAGAAAAAGAAAATAAAGAGAAAAAAGAAAAAAAGAGAAGAAAAACAAATCAACATCAGTCAGACTTGGTATAAGTACTAGAAGAATAGCACAACGTATAATTTGTAGTAGTCTACATACAATACCCAGTCTGTACGAGGAAAGAGTTGTAGCAAAATCGTATGAATCATGAATGACCCCACCCACCCACTTCATCCTGATATCTGATAATGCAACATAAAATTAACCATCAAATTTTGACTATTGAAAACTTTGTCATGGTAACTGTTTATGTGGTTGCAGTGTTAAGGGTTGAGGATATGAGTGAACCGCTTGTTAAAACTAAATGGATAACCAATATTAATACTTTCTTTCATGTCTGGCTGAAGGTTTAGGCTTTGCCACACTCATCATAGGTCTGTGTGTTAGGATGGTTGTCTCTGCATTGGCTGTCACTGGGGCCGGTCTGACATGGAAAGAAAAGCTGTTTATCTCCCTCGCATGGTTACCAAAGGCAACTGTTCAGGTACTACCTCACTGTTAACACTTCAAGTACAATTCTCTATTTCACTGCCTCTGAACAGTTACTCTTTAATCTGCTATCTTTTAGTGAATTTCACATGTTTTAAAGCCTGTCTGTACTAATTTGGCCAGGGGGGGGGGGGGATTAGACCACCCAGCGTGGCCACTGAGAGTTGGTTATCTCATCAACTCAGCTCTTAATCAACATAAGAAAAAGAGGATCATGGGGGACCAACAGGCACTGCTTATACATTGTTTTCTATATAGAGGGAGCAATTAGCTACAAGTAGTGCAGTGGGCCTTTAAGTCATGAGTCTATCAGCACTTGTAAATGAGCTGGCAAAGCCTGTGCAAACATGTATCGTACTGTTTTGCCTTGCATAAGAGTTTTTAATGATTATGATAATAATGCGTTTGTATATTGCTTATTTCTGTCGTACATGACATTGGTTTAATTGTTGATTTCCCATATGTTGGAATAAAAGGAATAAATAATGAAGAGAAGTAAATCATCGGCATCATGTGTCATTGCATTGTAAAACCAGTCGACAAATGCATCTTGAAAACACATCTAAGTTTTGTTGAATACTTGGTTTCTCCTTCCAGGCTGCAATTGGATCCGTAGCTCTAGATACAGCGAGAGACAGAGGAAGTGAAGAAGAGTTAGAGATATATGGAATACAGGTAGGTAGTGACCATAATGAAAACAGTAATGATAATGAATTAAAAATATAACATCAATAATATTTCAACAAATTAATAATTGGACAATGTGTTGTGATCCTAGCTGATATTTAAAGTATTGCAATTGTATGAACATGTACATCTGATGGTCATAATAGCAAGTTTCTGCGTATATATACAACATTGATCTACATTTGCCACTCTCCACCCAGGTGTTAAATAGGTACCCGGTAGGATGCGAAAGCTAATGTGCTTAGATTAGCAAGTGTGCGCTTGTAAAAATGATGCCTGGCTGGAATGCTCCCCAGGGAGTGGAGAATGTGCATACGTTGTGTGCGGGTAAGCCTGAATCGGATGACCGGGGTAATAATATATCTATCTGTGAAGCGCTTTGAGAGGGCCTTCGGTCCTGAAAAGCGCTATATAAGAACTAGCTATTATTATTATTATTAAAAAGGATTAAAGTGTGTGTCATTTGCAGTGTTGATGTGCTTCTAAATGATGTGCTAGCTCCCACCCCCATGTGATAGGTATGGTACATGCATGCAAAAACTTGTAATGTACATAGAAATGAAACTAATGCAATTACGTGTATGTTTTTTTTGTTCAATCAAATAGTTACTTCATGCACCAAACATGTCAAGACCTTCTGTCCTTGAGTTAAGTGGAAACAGTGACAATCTCACCCCCCCCCCCCCCTATCTGCTCCACCACCTCTATCAAATTCCTTCTTGAGAATTTCAGAATTCAAACCAATTTCTTTCCAATCTTTGATTCCTAGCTTTTGACGGTAGCAGTCCTATCCATCCTGTTCACTGCACCCCTAGGAGCTATCGTAATATCGCTGACCGGTACTCGCCTTCTGAGATGTGCCCCTCCACCAAACCAGACGAGTTCTCACAGAGACGTACCGGAAGTAGCAGAAACTCAGCCAAGATATGAACCAACGAGAGGGGGCAGCTGTAGAGAGGGGCCTCGTGAAAACAATATCTTATTGGAACAAGCAAGAGTTGCAGAGAATTCAGTTTGAGTGTCATGGAGCGATTGTCATCTCACTGACTGGTCCTCGCCTTCTGAGATGTGCCCCTCCACCAAACCAGACTAGTTCTCACAGAGACGTACCAGCAGTAGCAGAAACTCAGCCAAGATATGAACCAACGAGAGGGGGCAGCTGTAGAGAGGGGCCTAGTGAAAACAATATCTTATTGGAACAAGCAAGAGTTGCAGAGAATTCAGTTCGAGTGTCATGGAGCCATCGTCATATCACTGATGGGTCCTTACTTGATAAGATGTGCCCCTCCAAACCAGACGAGTTCTCACAGAGACGTACCAGAAGTATTGGAAACTCAGCCAAGATATGAAGCGACTAGAAGGGGCAGCTGTAGAGAGGAGTCTAGTCAAAACAACATCTTTTTTTTAACAAGGCAGAGAGGAAGAGAATGCAAGTATGAACGGCTGCGGAGAGGCATCAAGTAACAACAATAAAAGCATGTAATATTACACTTACATGTGTCAGTACTGTCATGTTTGTATTCCAATCAGAAGAGCCCAAAATCAGAGGACAGAATGCTGTATTGCAGCCAGAAGGAATTGTGGAATATTGATCAAGAGCCTTTCAGCATGAGCCAGTGGCATGTCTTTCACTGTACCTTGACTTTTAAAGTGGTGGCTCAGAGGTTAGAGCGCCCGCCTTATGCACAGGAGGTCGTGGGTTCAAACTCCGGCCGAGTCATACCAAAGACTTATAACAATAGGACCTTCTGCCTTCTAGCTAGGCGCTCAGCATATTAGATTGGAGAAGGGTAGTAATAACATATTACATGTATGTTATGCGGGGCCCGCTGAAAGAGCAGTTTCATAACTGAAGTGGCTACCCTGGGTTAATAAAACGTTATATTATTATTATCCTTCCCTATGATTCTATTTGAATGCATTATCATTATTCACACATTTAGTATTATAAAATGGGTTCAAGAATGTAGCCAATGAGAAGCGTCAAAATGGATCACGTGATCGTGCATTATTTTTTACTATATGCACAGTACCATGTGCATGGGGTGCATTTTGGTAATAACAACCGTGGATAAAGATTGCGGGAGATATCTTATGGCCTTGCTAAGTAAGATTGACGACGCATTTTATAAAACAAATATTACACAGGTTTTTGTTTGTGACGTTATGGGGATGCAGTGCTATTCAGGCATTCACACTGCCACAAAATTGAATTGGCTACGCCTCATGAATTGTATTGCACCATAGTAAATACCCTCATGCTCTGCATCGACCATTATGCACTCATACCTGTGTATTATTTGTATAATATGATTTGTACTTACTCGGTTCTCACTGGGTAATACATGTAGTAGTTATGGGAATAAGATGGTATCTGTTTTACAAACTGCTTTGTATTCTGTCAATGTGTTTTATTAGTCTGCCATATTTGTTGGAAAGACAATTAATCACGTTAATTCAATTTTACCTTGATTAAATTAGAATCCACTGCCTACATGAAACAGGTTTTTCACATTAAGCCCATTAGAGAGTTAAATTATGACAAAGGTGATGTTGGTACATGATAGCTCTGGCAACACTTTTTCCTGGGTCGGCTTCTCACCAAATTTGTAACTTAAAACTTTGATTTAACATTATTTTTAACTTAAAATCAAACAAATAAAATGTCTTCCTTCAAGCCAACACTGAAGCCAAATGTAAACCCAGAATTAGAATCTGATTCTAACCCTTACATATTATATAATTGACATAATTGCCTGGAGCATATGGTTGGAGTAAATGTTGGATCACAAAGATATCATTTGATTTTTCTACTGACTGTTCCCCCCTCCCTCTCTCTCTCTTTGGATTACATGTGGACATGACTAGAAGAAGAGGTGAAAGAAGAACTATTTGTGTTCTTGTTGGTTAGATAAAGCTGTAAAGAGTACAGAGGTTTCATTCAAACTGTGTGTGAATATTTAGAGTGGGGTCCTTTCTCAATGGCTTTACTTTATGGGCGTTGAAGTATTGTGTTATTATGCGCATTGTAAATAAGTGTAGATGTTTGACTAACTATGCAAGTATACTTTCTGAAATTATGAAAATGTAGCGTAAGAAAAGTTTTGTATCTTAATGATGGATGGCAGTGCTAGTTGTGCTAATTTTCGAGTACCGGTAACTTTGACATCCCTGAAAGTTAAATTTATTTTGATAAATTGGTAACCCTAGCCCAAACTGTCGTGATGCTAGGTTGTAATGGCAACATGTATTAGATATTGGATATAGTGTTCAAAGAGTGAAACAAAGAGGTTTTGGTCATTTCATCCCTCAATCTACAGCAATATTGTATTCATGGATTGGCCAACTTTTAATTCTACCTGTAAAAAGAGATTGCAAAAAGTAATTCGCACATCTTTAATGATTCTCAGCAGATATTTTAATCTTTGGCTTTGGTCCAAACTGAGTCAATTTAGGCATTCAGCTTTCTCTGGGAATTGTTTGGGAGGTCCAAACTGCAGGCTGAAAGTAAGCATTGACGGGTTGGTGCTGCCTGTATATTAAAACGTAATTTTCATTTCATTTGTTTTGTAAAGCGCTTAGAAATTGTATTTGTATACCAGCACTATATAAATTTGGGATATTATTATAAATATGCTATGTATTATAATTATTTCTTTATTCTTCATCTTGCCATTGCTGCTTCATAAAGAAATACACACATCTGTACGTGTATTAGGAATAGGAGATTGCAATCTGAAAACAAAAGAATTAAGACAAATTATTTTTAGATTGAACAGTTCTATTGTGCATTGACTTCATGATGATATTCTCCAGGTTTTTGCTTGTCTGTTGTGTATTTGATTGATTGAATGATTGATTGAGTGAGTGAGTAATTGATTGATTGATTGATTGATAGATTGATTGATTGATTGATAGATTGATAGATTGATTGAGTGATTGATTGGTTGATTGATATATTGATTGATTGATGATAGATTGATTGATTGATTGATATATTGATTGATTGATTGATTGATAGATTGATTGAGTGATTGATTGATTGATTGATAGATTGATTGATTGATTGATAGATTGATAGATTGATTGAGTGATTGATTGGTTGACTGATTGATTGATATATTGATTGATTGATGATAGATTGATTGATTGATTGATATATTGATTGATTGATTGATAGATTGATAGATTGATTGAGTGATTGATTGAGTGATTGATTGATTGATGATAGATTGAGTAATTGATTGATTGATTGATTGATAGGTGGATTGATTGATAGATGGATTGATTGATTGGTTGATTGATTGAGCAATTGATTGGTTGATTGATTGAGCGATTGATAGATTGATTGATAGATTGATTGAGTGAATGATAAATTGATTGATTGATGGATTGATGAATTGATTGATTGATTGGTTGATTGATTGAGCAATTGATTGATTGGTTGATTGATTGAGCGATTGATAGATTGATAGATTGATGGATTGATTGATTGATTGAGTGATTGATTGATTTATTGATTGATTGATGTAATAAGATATAATGAAAGAAGAGATAAGTGACCAGGGCACCCGCTGCATAAAACTTACCATTGATGTTAACTTTGCCATCAATGGTAACTACCATGGAATTGATTTTGATTGGTTGTTGAGCCCTGTTAACATTGTAGTTGCCACTGATGGCAAAGTTACCATCAATGGTACGTTTTATGCAGCGGGGCCCAGATGATATACTCCAGGATAACTACCCTTGTCATGTATGATGAGAGCGGGTGGGTAAGAAGGAGTGTGGATATATGGATAATCAGATCATCAACATTGAGGGCCCCGTTGCATAAAACTTGCTATTGATGATAACCTCCATGGAAACCTTGATTTGATTGGCAAGGTTACCATCAGTGTTAAGCAGAGTTAAGTTTTATGCAACAGGCCCAGGTGTGGTTTTTTTTCGGGGTGTGATAGGCCAGGTAGCTGTATTGTTTAACAGAATAGAGAAAGGAGTGGAACCAGAAGTACTACATGTAGATTGAAGTGCTCTTTTTATACTATACGTTGATTGATATAGGATCGTGGTAGGTACCAACCCGCCCCTCTGTTTTTTTTTTGTCGTCGCCGTCGTTGTTTTACGGGGGTCAAATGATTCACATGAATACATAGTTGATATCAAATAGGAATATAATCATCTATTTTTTTCTCTTTCATAAGAATGATGTGTCTTTAGTATACCTGAAGGTATACTTCTGTCTTGATCTTTGGTTAATAAAAGGAAAAGTTACGTCATTGTGTAGAGGGCGGAGAGGTGAACAAAATAACTTGTGTTACGAATAAGAATCACAAGAATGAACAAATAAAGAAAAAACAATCTCTGAAAGAAAATATTTGTGTAGGTTTTAAAAAAAGGTATTGAGTTTATGCTGTAATACGTGTATCTCATCCATTGTTACGTGAACAATAGCTTTTCTATTCTTCAATCGCTGTTTCATTTCGAGAGCAAATTTGTTTTTTTAATACACTTGTTTTCATGTCACATTTACGTGCCGTGAGTCCTAAATCCTGAATTATATTTAAACAGAGATAGGGGATGCGTGATATATGAGATATAATGTAAACATACTTTTCACTGCTTGTACACATCTATCCTTTCACAGGTAGGCCTATATGTACCACTACTGTCGATTTTCTTGTTATTATTGATCGGCGTCATTTCTGGGGATTGTGGGGCAATTATATTGCAAACTGTCATGATTGTAGCAATCATTGTAAAACCAAAATGATTTTAGTTTATGGCTGCAGCCTCGTGATGCGAATCCGCCGTTGTAACGTATTTAGAGAGGCAATCATATATCCAGTCTGTACAAGAGCTCTGCCAGTTCACTGTGTTTTACACTTCAGACATGCACCTGTTATGCTAAACCGTAAACATATATTCATGGAATGCTAGTATATTTCTATGCAATTAAACAACAGTTGAATTTCGTCTGTTTCTCGACGAGGTGGTGGAAGAGCTAGTCAGTCTCCATCTACATACTCCTGAGTGGACACTGAAAAGGCATCGAGACTAGACATCGATCTAAACAAATAGTTCAGAAGTTTTCCCAACTCTTAATTGTTCGAAAAGGGCCTCGAATCATGAAGTTTGCACTCCTCCTGTTCATCGGTTGTCTCACTGCCCCTGTGGCTCTGGGACTGGGTGCTCCCGCGCCGAGTCAGCAGGGTAAAGATGTCATCAACTTGGCGTTCGCGGCTGGAACAGCTTTATTACCGAACCCAACCAATCCAAACCAGTTAGATCTGGTTATCAATACCTTCGATCCGACACCGTCTACTACCGATGAGATTTACGTGGTCAGGGATGTCATTGGTCAATTACAAGATGATGGAAACGATGGTCTGGTCACCGAAGTCCTGGCTGAAGGGTTGATCTGGCCTAGCACTGTCGAAGCTGTGCCCTGTAAGTCTTATTTTAACAAGATAATATATAATATGTTACTCTCTTAACGCAGAGGAGCCGTTTCAGCTCGAGCTAGGATAATTTCTTTGGAGTTGAATGCACTCCAAACGATAATTGGATCCTCTCCAAGCAGTGGTCGAATGGACTCTCAAACGTTAACAAACATGGATTTCCAGTAAAAACAGAATGATCTGTAATAAGCCCCCCCCCCCCCCCCCTCCTACCAGGTGACCAGATTTTAACATTAGAACCAATGGACTTTTGTAGGTCGTGGCTTCGGATTGCAGGGGTAACATATCCAAGCAAATAAATTTATGGGGAAGTGTCCCTGTCTAGGGCACTGCCGCCCCTCATTGCTTTATGTAGGCCTACTTGTTTCTTAGTTTATCTGTGACGTCTCTAGAATCATAAACAGCGGTATTCCCCTTCAAAAAAGGGGGAGTGGTTGTAAGAAGCCCACCTTTCTGTAGATTCATTACAAGTATATCGTGTTTGTCTCGATTCATTTTAATCCAATATTGCGCTTAGGTTCACACATACATGACATAAATGGAATATTGATTGAAATATTAATTGAAAATTATTTTGTCTTTCATACTGCTTTATATTGATACATCAAGTACTTGAGTGATCGTTTTATTTCTAATTTGTATGATAATTATCAATGTCTATTGCAAAGTATTTTTCCATTAATTCAAAGTGTTTACAAGTTATTATTGTTTTAAATATTTCAAATCGATGATCCTATTTTATGACCGTGAGGATGGGGGTTAGTTGTCCAAAAATCATGGATATCAATTACTTTGCAATACTAAATATCTACTATTTGATTTCTGTCCTTAGGGGACGTGTTCCATAGTAATGACTACTACTTCACTCCTGGGGGTTTCCTACGCCCTACAAAAGACATCGGTAGCATCTCACTCATAGATGCTGCTAGTCAGGGTAAGACATCGGTAGCATCGCACTCATAGATGCTGCTAGTTAGGGTAAGACATCGGTAGCATCACACTCACAGATGCTGCTAGTCAGGGTAAGACATCGGTAGCATCACACTTATAGATGCTGCTAGTCAGAGTAAGACATCGGTAGCATCACACTCATAGATGCTGCTAGTCAGGGTAAGATTTGATAAGCTTATGCGAAGCATCATGTTCCGCCAATGATTTCTCAGAGATCAATATCCTACAACAGCTGAGTTATGAAGTTCACCGCTGGATGGCTCCCTAACTCTTAACCTAAACCTTAACTAAAATCCGATTGCGACCTTAACCCCAAATCCGTATCTTTGTCGAATTATACGGGGTTCGAATCCCGCCGCAGCACTAACGTCCCAGCTTTGGCAAGACAGTAATATTCATATACCCCAGCCCCCCCCCCCCCCACTCAGGGGTCGTAATGACCGCATGCGTGTTGCCAAAATGTCTGGTAAAGGGGTACTTTTCGTGCGACAAAGTCCGGCCCGAGAATTGTAAAAAAAAAAGGGGTATATTTGACTTTTCACCCGGAGATTTCTTTAAAAAGGGGTGTTTTTTCCTTTTTTTTTCTCTCATCTCTTTGGACTCCTGAGAAGTTATTCCGAATTTAGGGGGGTACATTGAGCATTTTTCCTGATTTAGGGGGTCTCCAAGGCAGGAAAAGCCCGCGAAAAGCCCGCGAAAGGGGGGTTCGGAAATGTTGGCAGTCCTCAGATAGGGGGTGCTTTCAAAAAGAGGGAACGAGCATATGCGTACCCTAAATAACACTGAGTGGGGGGCCGGGTATATACCACACTCGACCCAGGTGTTGTAAGTAGGTACCTGGTAGGATTCATTCTTTGAATACCCTTAGCGCTACGGTTGCCAGGGCTTAAGCCGCCGGTAATAATATCTAAAGTCCTTTGGAAGCGAATAGAGACCTTATATCATAATGTGATAATTTGTATTCGTTTTACAAGAACGGCATATTATTCTTTTTATTAAGATGACCAAGCTATCCCTTTAATTTTCCTTCAAATTGGTCGCAAGCGGTAAATGTAGATAGATTTCCAAAAGACGCTATTACTACATGGCAGGATTCAAACGCGTGCTATTTGATAAACTATAAGAGATATAAATTTATTATAGGCGTTGCATGTGTACTCACTCTGTTTTGATTCTATATGCCTGCTCCTACGTTTTTAGTATATTATGAATGTTCTATTTTCTGATTACCCAGAGTATCCCGCGGAGACCATTGACCTGACCCAGAAAAAGAATCCAGATACTGTATGGTTCAAGAACGCTATCTTCATAGATGTTGACCATGATGGCAGAAAGGATATCTTGGCTGGAAGAACTAATAGTAGTAAGAATCTATGTCTATTATACTTTCATGTGTCTTCATGTCTTATTTTGTATTATTTTCATCATTATCATTATCATTATCATTATTCTTCTCTGTCTCATGTGTTCTGCCAAGGGCAGGTCCACACGACAGATTCTTCTTTAGTTCTTTCTCCATCCATCTCTATCTTTAGCCTTTTTCGTCATTAAGTCAGCTGATGTAACCTATCAAGTCTGACACCAACCAATTCTTGTTCTTCCTCTTCCCCTTTTACCATCCATCTCCCCTTCCAAGATGTCCCTGAGCATGTTACCCTCGTAAGCAGGCACGTAGCCAGAGTTTGATGTTTGAGGGGGGGGGGGGGGGGGGGGGGGGGGGGGAGGGGCACATACATGTAATCGATCGAGGTCAACAAAAAGGGATCTAAAAAATTTCAACCGATCTTGGACAATTTTGTTTGGGGGTACGTGCCCCCCCCCCCCCCCCCCCCCCCCCCCCGTGGCTACGTGCCTGCTCGTAAGGTGTGTCCTATCAAGCTTTTCTTCCGTCTTCAGATTTTTCTCTCAAGCTCCTTTGTAAATTCACTCTATCCAACACTTCTTCTTTGGCGACCCTGTCCCTCCAACTAATTTCTTTCATTTGTATCTACAGCCACATTTCCAAACTTCCAATCAACCATTCCTCTGCTCTCCTGATAGTTCAAGTTTCATAGCCATAAACAGCTGCACTCTAAACCAGCTATTTGACGAGTCTCTTTCTAAGATTTAAATTGAGCCTTTTCGCTGCCAGTACCCTACTGTTGATAGAGAATGCCTTATTGGCTAGTGATGTGCTAGTTTTGATCCGGTTCTGCTTTCTTTTCACCGATTATGATGTTAAAGGTATAGACCAGTTTTGGAAACGGAAGCTCTTATTACCAATCATGTGAATAAATATCTTGTGACTAAAACGTGATGATACAAATTTTGCCGGGAAACCGCCTACTCATTGATATATTTGGTAAATTATCATATCGATCCGGCCTGGATAGATATCGCGAACATTTGGGCATATATTTCTGCTTTTTTGCGAATTTAGGTCGAAGTATTGCCATCTAAACCTGTGAAGGCAATATCTATACAATATTGAATGGATATTTTGCACCCAAAACCCTTGAACTTGTCATTGTCTTTATTATTATTATCACTATCATTATGATGATGATGATGATGAAACCTATTATTGTTATTTTCATCAGTATTATCAGATATAGATGGGCATTTAAATGCTCGTAAAAGGTTATTTAGAGAATGAGAAAATCATTAGACAAGTGCGATCATACCCAGAGAAAAGGAAAGAGAGAGAGAGAGAGAGAGGGGGGGGGGGGGGGGAAATAATACAACAATTTCCACAATTTGTCGTTAAATCATTTCTTGATAGCTAATATCCGAGATGTAAAGACAGCCCTGGTGTGGTTTAAGCAACCCAAGAAGGATCCTCTTCTCAGAACTCCATGGAAGGAAAGTGTTCTCTTTGAGGATGCAGGACCAAACTTCCAGTACCATGTCTTTGAGATGAGCCCATCCGTGACACGCCACGCCCTATTCACAACGCAATTGTTCAGCCGAAGTATTGAAGTGCATTGGAACGACGTCATAGGTAAGAGTACATTTACATAGTGTATTTTCATTTATGACGGTATTCTGTATTTAGCTGGTGGTCCCTGTGTTAAGTCCATGGGAATTAGATAATTCAGTATTCAACGGGTTAAGCGCATTCAATGAGTTTAAAGATAACTTCTGTCTTTTAGATCTGCAATTATAATAACGACTCTCAATTTCAATCTCAATCTCGATCGGTATATCAATTTCTACCTATAATCGTCGTTATTAAACAATTAGAATAATATTCTTTCTGATTTATGAGACACGATTTGGTGACTCGACATGTGCTCAGGCAACAATTGCATTTGGCCTTATTTTATCAAACATGTCGAAGGTAAGGATTGTGGAAAGCATGGATTGGGTTGTTGATATGAGATTGTATGTTAGGGTTAATTAATAATAAGACTTATATGATTTGCAAACACAGACGACAGCTCTGAGAATACGGATGACGACAGTGATGAAGACGACGACAGTGATGAAGACGGCGCTTTCGAGAACGAAGTCAAGAAGAAATACGATGACAGGGACAACGACGACGACGACGACGACGACGATGATGATAATGATAATGATGATAGTAAGATATAAATTAAATTGTGAAATCGATGGGACATAATGATGGGTATCCATGGCGCCAATAATGATGATGTTGATGGTGGTGGTAGTGGTGGTATTGATGATGATGATGGTGATGGTGGTGGTTGTGGTGGTAATGATGATGGTGATGGTGGTGGTAGTGGTGGTAAGGATGATGATGGTGGTGATGGTGGTGGTGGTGGTAGTGGTGGTAATGATGATGGTGGTGATGACGATGATAGTAGGCCTAGTTATTGTGTTAATACTTTGTTATGGCTGGGCATGACCACAACACCCTTACATGCTTATGATTGCACGTCAACGTTTAACATGTTTAAAGGTATAGACCAGTTTTGGAAACGCCTCCCTCTCAAAAAATGATATGGAAGCTCTTATTACCAATCATGAGAACGAATATGTTTTGACTTATACCTGATGATACAAATTTTGCCGGGAAACCGCCTACTAATTGATATATTTGTTAAATTATCATATCGATCCGGCCTGGATAGATATCGCGTAGTCCCATGTACATCTTTCTGTGTACAGTGCTTGTAACTTTATCAAGACTGGGCCAAATTTGTTATCATTTTGATGAGTCCAGAACCTTGCAGTACACATCAATACTTATATGCTAGATGATCAACCTTTTCTGATCGATTCTACAACGTTTCTTTCACAATGTAATCGCATGGCCAAAACTGGTCTATACCTTTAAGAGGATTGCGTTTAAAGTTTATATTTCCCCATGTCAAAGCAACCATTGGCCCGTGTATATCACAACGTTTCAGTAATATACGTGCTTCAGTATAAAGGAAATCTGGTGTAATTTGCAGATTTTTAAAAGAGTTTAAGGAGTTTGTCATGATCCATCTCAATGGAAAATGTAGTCATATTTCATTTCTATAATATAAAGATAGCAAGCATTCAAACGAATCAGTTAAAATCTTACCCTTAAAAAATACCAGCAATGCTTTGTGCTTCCAAGTATTAATGTGATTTACTGGAGCTTTTGCATAGACTCTACTGTAGTTTAAAAAGTATATTATGATAGTTTAAAATTGTTTTCCAGATGACGCACCAAACTTCTTCGAGTTGACGCGACGAATAATAGAAAACGAGGGAGGCAACATGTACTTTGATAGCTTTGTAAGTTTTTAAATATATAATTGACTTTTTGGTATCATAGTGTCGTGTGATTGTGCACTTAAGACATACCTGCACCTATCCAGCGGCTAAATCTTTCTCTCTTTCGCTTGTTTCTCATTAATTTATTATTTCCTTGAAGTAAACAACATTCTCTTTGGATAGTGTGCTGAATAAGAAACATGTATTGTATGTATTATGTGAAGGCCTTTGGTTCGAACGTTAGCACAGCGCCAATATCCGTTTGGTAAACATGTCATTTCATACCCAAAAGAGGAATTGACATAATGACGAAAGCTATTAGATTTCATATAACTTTTAAACCATTCCAGTACGATTCCTCTAAAACCATAACATTCCAACTTTTGTAATAAAATTGAGTGATCAAGAGATTCAAAGGCCTTGCTAAGATCTAAAAACAGGCCAATCATTATTTCTTTATTATCAAAGGCATTTGTAACTTCATGAATAAACTCAGTGATGGCAGAAAATGTAGAGTGTTCTGCTTGAAAACCAAATTGTTTGGGAATAATGATATTGCACTTTTCCAAGAATTTATATACAGGACTATATACACATTTCTCTAAAATCTTTGAACAAATAGGAAGAATAGATATGGGCCTATAATTTGATAAATTACCTTTTGATCCATTTTTATAAATGAGAATAATCTTGCAATTTTAAGTTTATCTGGGACAATACCTGCAGTATTTAAAGATAAATTGATAATATCACATAAAGGGTAACATAATATATGAATAAAATTTTTAACCCATGTAATATACACTCCATCAAAACCAGGACTTCTGCCATTTTTAAGTTTAGAAACAATATTAACATCTTTTGGTGTACACGGAGTAAAAAATGCAGATGAATTACTTTTTGTTACATATTGCATACAGTCCCCAGAATTTACAAAAGAAGAAGACAGTGTATGGCCTATATTTACAAAGTATTTATTAAAAGCATTACACATTGCACCTGTCCCATTTATTGTTGCATCATTCCACTGAATTGAACTTAGTAGCACCTTCTTCTTCTTCGGGGCGACAAGGTTTATAGCCGTTTGGTCTATGACCAGTTCGTCTACTACCCAATTGGCCTATTCCCATTTGGTCTACACCCATCCCGTCTAATATCCACATTGTTTAAAATCATTTCGTGTACTTGTCATTTGGTCTAATTACCGTCTAGGCTAGTAGTCATTTGGTTTAATTTCCCTTTGGTTTAATATCCAATAAGTCTACTACCCATTTGGTCTATTGCTCATTTAGTCTAATTTCAAGTTCGTCTAAATTCCACTTTGTATAATGCCCATTTCGTCTACTACCCATATGGTATAATAATCATGTAATCATAATAATGATATACATCAAATGATTATTAGACCATATGGATGATAGACGAAATGGGCAAAACAAATTATTTCATCATTTTTTTCTCCTCGATAGATCGATGATATCAATGGGGATGGAAGACTGGATATCGTAGCTACGATCAGCAGGTATAAAACTGACTAATCCGGTCACACTAACAAGACCGACGATAGACCGACGACAGACCGATGACAAACCGAACACAAACCGAACACAAAATGACATTAGCCCGAATTGAAATCGGTCGGTTTAGAGTCGGTGTGGAGTAGATTTAGCGGTGTGATTGTTCTGATGTCGAGTTATATAATAAAAAGACTGATACCCAACTTTACATGAGCCATGGTGTTCATGGTTCTCAAGCTGCGAGAGAATATTTTAACAAATTTTGTCCGTATCAGGACAATTATTAGCCCCTGGAAATCACCCCCGGAAAATTACCCCTCGTAAAACCAAGGAGTTACTACACTCCTCCTTGGTAAAACTACCCCAATGACAATTACCCCACCCCTGAAAATATCCCCCTAGGACAATTATTAACCCCCTCCCGGAAAATTACCCTCCTGTTCCTTAAAGGGGAAGTCCACCCTGATAATAAGTTGGTTATAATAAAAGAAGATTATTTTCGGTGGAAATTTTCCTCAGGAGGTAATTGTCCTAGAACCAATTTTGTCTAATGCAAATAAACAAAAGGTAAGGATAATTATTGTTCAACGAATGACAAGAACGTAAAATCCTAAACAAAAACATTATGGCAAGACGATGAATCGAAGGTTAGAATAATGTGGGTAGGGTATAGAAGCCTTCCCTCCCACCTCCCGTCTAACCCTACGGAGAAACAAAATAAACATCTGTTCAAACAAAACAAAACACAGCGAATTGATTTTTTTTGTTGAAGTTTTGCTTTCAAAAATACATTTAAGCTTGTATTTAGTTTAGAAAACGTTCAGTTGAACTGGCCTTGAGCGTGAAGATTTTGCAAGATGAAGTATCGAAACGTTACCCTTTCAATGAATTTAATATGTTGGTCTATCATTTCTACAATTGTATTCCATCCTCGATGAAGGGGGGAGGGGGGAAGGGGGGAGCTTGGGGTATTTTGCATCAACTTCCTTCTTTCTATACATGTGCCTTGCTTAAATTTATTGATAATCGAGAAAATTATTTGAAGGCAGTGATGCTAGAACCGCTACGGAGAAAGTGTTTTTAATTTTTCAGCACGACAAACGGGAAACTGGTAGCATTCGAGATCCCCGATGATTGGGAGAACGGTGAATGGACCCAACACGTGTTAGCTGAAGGCTTCAAACCACCGGAACCTAACCCTCGACCAGGAAGAGGTTCCCCAGGAAGAGCACAGGTTTTCTTCCCTGACATTAATCAATCAAGGTATGTGTGCCCCATCAGTGGCGTAGCCAGGATGGAAGGGGGCTCGGATATAATTATTCCTATGCTTCTCGATACCCAAAAGAACCATTATGAAGAAATCGAGCAAATGAAATGTTAAAGGTCTGGCCATATCCGCAGAAAGTTTCCAAACTTGCTGACCGAAAGTCTTAAAATTTGTAATCTATAATAATTTGTGCATGTTAATACATCTCCTATGTTTTGTACACTGTTTTGTTATTGTTATATTTTTTTATAGCCAATTGTTGGAACTTGTATGTATCTTTTAATAACAGGGACTGCCTCGACGGAACCTTATGGTTTTATTTGCAGTTTCCCCAATTAATTTCTATTGCTGATTAACTTTGTATAATTCCGGTATATTTGTAGACATGTTTCCATTTTGTGTGTGTTCTGTGTTTTCTATATTGTATATAATCTGTATCTTATATGTTTTTTATGGATTTGAATTGAAATAAAACTTAAACTTGAAAATAATAATGAGGTGGATGTCACATCCTAAAACCCTTCCATCTCCAGCCACTATTCTCTCAACATCCTCCTGTTTCAGGACCGTCATGGACGATAATTATATCTTTTTTCACTTGGCATTGGCAGGATGAAGCCGTTTATACTGATGACTGGAGACGATGATGGCAGGGTGTACGTCGTCAAACCTCTCAACGACGCCGACCCATCTGATTGGTCGTACAAGGCTGACGTGCTGTTCGAAGCAGAGGGCAACACAATAGGCGATCTGACTTATGCGGACGTGGATGGAGACGGTGTAAAGGAGGTCTTTGTTCCGATGTTTAATGCCGGTCAAGTGCACATCGTTCCCTATAAAGACATAGATTTGTCAAGCGTCTTTGTGCAACCAGCAGTAAATGATTTTTCTTCCTCATATGACGGTACTTTGTAGTCACCACACCTACCAAAGATAACATAACCCTATACCATGCGGTGTATACAATGGGATTTCCCATAGTGTGATCACAGTACTACGTATATGTATTTCTGATGTTAAGAACTTTTAGATTTACACGACGAGAGCGTGGACTGCCGCGTGTGCACTGGGCCGTGCCCGGCAGTGCCTTAAAATGACGTCACATTACCTTAAAAGGATGTCACACATGGCGGTCCACGTTCTCGTCGTGTAAATCTAAAAGTCCCTATTGTCTTGCAGCTATCGACATTGATTTTCCCTTACTTCAACATATATTAGTACGTTGAAAACTGAATGCGCAGAAAATTAACAACCTTCGTGGCCATGAAAACTTATTTAAAAAAAGTACAGATACTACAAATTACAGTTAGATGCCCCTATTCTCTCTCCCTATCTCTCTCTCTCTCTCTCTCTCCCTCCCCATCTCTCTCTCTCTCTATCTCTCCCGTCTTTATTTATCTCTCTGTCTTCACCAATCTCTTGTTTCTTTTTCCTCTTTGCATCTTTCTCTATTTCTCTTTCTTGCTCCCCATCCTTTCTCTATGACTTTCTCTATGACACCCTCTCCCTCTTCCTACAATTTAATATCATTTTCTTACTCTATTTTCTTTTGTTATTCTCTTCCCGCTTCTTATCCATTGATCTTTATGGATTATTCATAAAACAAATACTTGAAAGTTCTAATGTAGAAAAAGACCAAACAACTGATGGATGTGGATAATGATATAGCTTTGACCTGTGATTACTTTGTAACATTCTTTCTTTTTTTAAAACTGAACAAAAGCATTATTTCGTTTATCATGATATGTGAATGAAGTTCAAAGAACAGACGTTTTTGATTGATCGCGAGCAAAACAATAATATTGTTATAGTAATTGATTGCTTCCAAATTGGTGATTTAATTTGTTTGTTTATTTGTTGTCAGTTGGCACTGTTCGTAATTTTGTTGAGATCATTTTGAATATTTATCTTCAACGATAAAACCCTAACATTGTCCCCTTATATTCATTTCCAGATTCATGGTAATGTGAAGTCATATACGTCTTATTTTGCGTGTAATCTGTATAGTAGCTCTTTCGTGAAATCTTGTTGTCAACTGAAAGGTCATGTTGGTGATGTGAAGCCTCATAGTGATAATAAATAGCACCTCCCCAAACGAATCATTATAGTCCAGTAGACGGTACCATATACCATGTACATGACCTGGAAAAGTTGATAAGTACAAGGTTTTTTTGTTGATTTGTGTTTTGGGTTTTGAAGTAAATTCAGCTTGGTTGCCAGCTTGGCAACCTTGAGCAACTTTTTTAATAGCCATATTAGCATAATCATCTAATTAGCAGATGTGCAATATGTAATAATGTTGCTAATTTCAATCCAGGAAGCCTGAAAACATGGATAATACAACTTTTCAAGGGTTTTCTATGATAAGGAATTCATTTATGACACCAATTTTTATTTTTAAGTAATACAATTGTCTTAAATAGCATAATTAGCATAATATGTACAATATATGGACTTCATTGTCATTGTTTATCTATAAAGCCTAAAAATGGTGCAATACAACATTGTAAATCATTTTTGAAAGACTAATCATTTATTCATGAGAAGATATTCCATGTAGATGTAGTATAATTAGCCTAATTAGCATAATCATATAATTAGCATATATGTGCAATATGTAATAATGTTGCTAATCTTAATCCAGGTAGACTGAAAACATGGATAATATGACTTTTCCAGGGTTTTGCATGACGAGGGATTCATCAGTTGTGACACCATTTTGTATTGTTAAGTAAATGCAATTGGCTTAATATGTAATTATTGTACTAATAAGCCTAATTAGCATATGTAGAATATCAATTATTTGGGACTCTATTTAGCTTCACAAATAATTGTATGTCCAATGTGGTGGTTATCTTGGTTGCAAGGCAATGTTGTCGAACCTCATGAACTGTCTAGGAAATGACGGGGTCATCGTACGCATTGAAGGTTGGGCTTCAGTCATAGGATTAAGAGAGACTGTCAGAAACACACTGAAAATGGTTAAAGCAGATGATAGTGATGGAATTGATGATGTGGTGAGACAGGTACGTACGTAGGCCAGGGAGGTTGAATACAACAGTGCAAACTATGATCTGTCTATGTTTACCAAAGCCAGAACCATTGAGAGTACAAGCCCGACGTTGCTCAAGCTTGTGGCAGAATTCTTGGAAAAGTCATATTATCCATGTTTTCAGGCTTCCTGGATTAAGATTAGCAACATTATTACATATTGCACATTATATGCTAACTAGATTATTATGCTACTTAGGCTAATTATACTACATCTACATGGAATATCTTCTCATGAATTAATGATTAGTCTTTCAAAAATGATTTACAATGTTGCATTACACCATTTTTTAGGCTTTATAGATAAACAATGACAATGAAGTCCATATATTGTACACATGCTTATTCGCTCATTATGCTCATTGTGCTATTTAAGACAATTGCATTAGTTGGAATCAAAAACTGGTGTCATAAATGAATTCCTCGTCATAGAAAACCCTTGAAAAGTCGTATCATGCACAAATGCTAATTAGACGATTATGCTAATATGGCTATTAAAAAAGTTGCTCAAGGTTGCCAAGCTGGCAACCAAGCTGAATTTACTTCAATACCCATCTAGAACACAAATCAACAAAAAAAACTTGTACTTATCAATTTGTCCAGGTCTGAAAAACTTCTACAGGGCTATTATGTCAACAACAATTTGTCTTTCTCAGAAAATTGATAGTATTATGTGAGGGGGAGAGCGAGAGAGAGAGAGAGAGAGAGAGAGAGAGAGAGAGAGAAATATGAATAGAGATGGTAAAGGGTAAATACATTGAGAGGAAAAACCAGTGTTATTCACATAAAAAACCCAGATACAAACATAAACATCAGTCCACATAGATTTTAGTCAAAGATACTTAGCCTTTCGTGTCTCATTTGACACGTTGATTAATAAAATCTGACCATGGTCAGCTGAACGACAGCCTTGTTTCCTTGGGTCCGTAACTTGGGTCCATTTTTTTTTTTTTTTTTTTTGGGGGGGGGGCAAACTTCCTACTGAGAAATGTGAATTGGACTGGGTAATATGTGTGGATCGTCATTTTTCTTATAATTATCCTTTTCCACCCTTGCTTCTTTATCCCTTCTTTTCCCCTTTCTTTTCTTTTCAATCCATTATCCAATTCGGTAGATTTTTTGATGGGGGGGGGGGGGTCGATGGGGAGTGGGCACCTCAGTGCCATATATACGGCACTGGGGCACGTTCTGCAGGCACTCCCTCATAGCTACGTCAATATCACTTCAAAATCAGTGAAGAAATTAGAAGGAACATACTTAAATATTCTTAACTCATTTTCTATCGAATTTGCGCTCGTTGAAATTCTAATGCACATTTTAGTCTGAATTAATTTGATGACAAAAGAGAGCAAGCCGATGCACAATTCCTGAGAAACAATGGCTGATCTTAAGCTCTTTTCCTTATAAATCCATGTCCAGTATCCCCATATACAGTTGGCAACTTCATTATTCATACCCCTTGTAAATTTGATCCCTACCCCTCAAAAATGAAAGTAGGACTGGTTGCATTTATAGGCAGACGCGGATCCAGGATTTCTTAGGGGGGGGGGCCCAAATTTGAAATTATGTGAGCCAAATATTGGTACGTAATGGTGACCAGCAGTGACGTAATGCGGGGGGAGGGGTGGGTGCAGGGAGGGGCGATTTTCTCCCTCCCTCCCGCGCAAAGCGCGGAAGCTTTTACGATTCATTAAATCATTAGAGAAAGAAGACGATACGTTGTACCACTCTCGAAAATGATTCTCGTCTGAATTCAGGTTTCCCCCAATCCGAGATTTTTTCCTCACTTTTGAGTAAATTATACTTTTTTATTCGTTTGTTGGAAAATGAAGCGCGGAAACTTTTAAGTTTCAATAAATCATTAGAGAAAGAAGACGATTCGTTGTACCGCTCTCGAAAATGATTCTCGTCTGAATTTAGTTTCCCCCCCCCCCTCCCTCCCGCGCGACGCGCGGAAGCTTTTACGTTTCATTAAATCATTAGAGAAACAAGACGATTCGTAGTACAGTTCTCGACTCTTAATCCTCGTCTGAATTCAGTTTTTCCCCTCCCCGGGAAGCTTAGGGGTTTTAGGCATTTAATCACGGTCAGACGAGCATATTTTGATGCCTCATTATTTGTTGACACTGGCAGTTAACTATTCTTTTTTCTTGCTCTCTTTCTTTTTCTATTTCTCTGTAATATACTTTTTTTTAAATGGGGGGGGGGGGGGGGGCTCGAAGCCCCCGATCCCCGTCGTTCCTCAACAATCATATTTCTTGCCTGGCTGTAAATTTAGGAATTTGTCATTTTCCAACAAACGCATAAAAAAGTATAATTTACTCAAAAGTGAGGAAAAATCTCGGAAATTATGTCATTTCAGCATTATTTGTAATCCACCGTTATGGAATTAGAAATAAACCACGTTTGAATTTGATTTCCCCAAGGTCCCCCCCCACCCCTATCAGTGGGGGGGGGGGGGGTGCAACAGCCTGGGAGGCAAGGCCGTTTCGGCCCCCCTCCCCCCCCCCCGATCTCCTTCTTCCCCCTTTTCTTTTCTTCTTCCTCTTCTTTCTTTCCCTTTCTTTCCTCTTTCCCTTTCCCTTTCCCTTCTTTTCCTTTCTTCTCTTTTTTTTTTTTTTTTTTTTTTTTGGCGGGGGGGGGGGGGGCATGGCCCACTCGGCCCCCCCCCTGGATCCGCGCCTGCGTATACTAGTACGTTCGTACGTACGTACGTTGCTCCGAAATAAAGATAATCACCATGAAGACGAAGTACTCCGTGAAGCCAAGTACAAACAGAGAATTGAAAATAGCAGTACTACGGTAAGGGACCAATCTTTCCACAGAGCGGCATACATATTATAGTGAAGAACTGAACTACTTTCCATAAATACGATTTATGTTCAATTAAACTAGACCGAGTGGTGTTATCTATTAAAAAAAAAGAAGGAAGAAACGGAATGAGTCTCGCACTTTCCTAGAAGAAAAGGCAACCTTGACCTACCTTGACATAAGCCTTCCGCACCATCTGGGAGATGTGTGATGGCTTCTGCTTCATGACGT